ATTTTTTCTTAAGTTATGTAGTTATTTAAGTCTCAATACGTGGCACTGATTTTTTGTATGCGCATCGTATTTAGAAAATATGAATTATTATTCGGACCAAGACGTCATTTTGAACACCTAGGAGAGTTGTGACAGCCTGTCACAACTCTCCTAACTTACTCCAAATTTCTGCTGGGCTATTTTTACATTTTTTTTATTAACTTTAGATGTTTGTTGGTGTGTTAGTAGCTACTTAAGGTGTATAATGGCATACCGCATACTTATTTTTTTGAGAATACCAAATAACTATACACGAGAGACTGAAAATCTAAGAATGTTAAGAAGCGTGTCATAAGCGAAGAAAAAAAAAGGAACCTAAAAAAGCAAAGAAGACTAATAAGAAGAATAGAACAAGTGATGAAGAAGATGTAGAAAATAATTGCTTTTATTTGGTTTGCCTTGAAGCCTATGCAGACAGCAGATCGAATGATCAGTGGGTCCAAAGCCTGGAATGCAAAGGCTAGGCACAGTTAGATTGTACTGGGGACGAACTTCATTACGTTTGGCATAAATGTGAATCTGATTAGATTAAGATTTTATACTGATGAGAATATTCTCATAACAAGTAATTATAATATTTTCATTAACTAAATATTGTATCGCTTTGAGATCAATCATATTATTGTAGTATTAATATTAATACTATGTTGTTTTAGTTGGTAGGTATTAAAAGATGATTAATCAAATCAAATCAATCTTTATTGTTGATCGCAGGTTATATAAAGATATTGGATGCAAGGACTGAATAGTTACACCGTGATCTGCCTAAAAAGCATACAATATTTGTAGGTTAGTAATTGTCAACTAATCTAATCAATAACATGTTATGTCAAAAATTCAACTAATTCATTAAGTATTTATACATTTACAAAGTACTGTCAGCTAGATACTCGTTTACACTATAATATGTTTTAGCTACTAATAATTTATAAAGTTTTCTTTTAAAAACATTACAATTATCCAGATTACGTATTGTTTTTGGAATTTTATCAAAAATTTTTGGAGCCATACAAAAGATACTTTTGTTCAACTGAGCTGTCTTAGAGGGTATCGTACACAATTTGTCTCGATGACGCAATCTCGTCTTATTTTCAAATAGTTGTTGATCCTGTTTGACAAAAATACCAACTTCGAATATATAGATTGATGGCAGGGTCATAATATTTAGTTTAATAAAATATGCTCCTAACACATTTTTTTCTGGGCTCTAAAGGCAGTTACAGAATCAGTCGAATATCCCCAAAATATAATCATAACATATAACCGTATCGAACAGTAGAAACTACGTACGCGTGATAAGCTGTAAGGACCGTGCACTGATTCGCGATCCTACTAAGTTTGTACAGTGCACAAGAATACTGGGACAACTTTTTGCAAACATGTTCAGTGTGTGTTTTCCAAGTCAAATTTATTATTATAGTACTGATTAAAGTACTGATTTGATAAAAAAAAACGTGCTTGATTTATTTATGTCGTATGTAATGGTATTTTTATATCTTATAGCTTAAATACAATGATGTCACAACTTACCTCGGTACCTGTCACAACTTACCTCGGTGGTAGGAGAGTTGTGACAAGGGGAGTGGACTTGAATTTTGTTATTTTTTTCAGAAACTATTATACTTTAATTAATTTTAGTGATGATTTTGAAAACAGAAGGAATGGCGCTAAACTAATTCACATGAGTCATAACTGTGGAATGTTTCTTAAGCGAGATAGAGCCCCTTATGTAAAAATTGTCACAACTCTCCTAGGTCTCCCCTACTTCTATTAACGGTATACGAAATTGAAATGTGCATTTTTTTTACTGAGATGCAATTTCCCACACAGTTTGTCTCCCAGAATTGGCAGCGCCAGAGTGGAGCACAGGCGTACTAGTTTCCCCTCTCGAATACCAGCTTTCAGCCAGCTCGGCACAAGGATTTCTAAGTGGCCGTCTAACATCCCTGATTCCGTATTCTGGGCGTAGGGCTAATAACCCGATTTTGACTATTTTAAGATTATGGGCTGGTTTTGGTCATTTTAAGAGTTAAGAGGAATTGAACTTGTTCAGCTTTCAACGGTATTAATTTTGCTTTATTTCACCAATTTAAAAACAGTAAAGAACCCACCTAATATATTTGTCTATGCGTTAGAACGCCTAAAAGGGTTAGCCAAAACCGGGTCTTCTGGCCTATACAGAATATAAAGCGGTGATATTTATACCTATTGATAAGGTGTTATTGGTTAAAGAGTACTACTCTTCACACAGAGACTAGTAAAACACATAAAACACGATGATCTTTTGGTTCGACTCAAAAAAAAAACAGTCTTCTTAAGTTAGGCGGTGCTATCAGCAACCCCGGATCTACGACGTTTTTGATTCGGAGCCACATTGATGGTATTTGTTCTTTCTAATGAATAACCGAGGATAAAAGATGACATATTTTAAAAATTTCGGTAAATTCAACGTTTTTCACATACAGAGGAGTTCAATGGCGCAATGGTTAGCGCTCAGTCTGCGATGCGTTGTTAAACAACTTTTGGAAGGGCCGGTCATAGAATGGGAGACCAAAAATTTATTAATTCTAGCTTCGTGCTACGGATAGCACGTTAAGCCGTTGATCCTGGCTGCATCTGCCGTCGTTAACACCCACCAATACGCACTATGCCCGCGTGGAGGGTCATGGTCCGTTCTCACTATTCGATTCCATCCATAGGGAAGGCCTAGCAATGAGGAAATTTACAGTGCTCCTCATTGAATATAAATAAAATAATTATGATTTTCCAAACTATTTTTATTTAATCTACAGTTTGAGGCATATTACATCAATTGGTTTATCTTAGTCTATGCCACACTACTGATAAACAAAGAATGAAACAGGACAACAGCACGTCAAGTTGTTCAAAACTGTCCATTTAGTTGAAGTAATTTAAATTTTAGTAAATAAGCCTCAAAATTAATTCATAAATATTAAAATCTTATACTTGATGTGCTGCTCTTTGTACATTTACAAAACACCTTAGAAACGGTAAAATGTAGTACTCATTTCTATAAAAGATACAGTCTTGTAATTCATATTGTTGACCACAGTAACTTTTTGACAATGCAGGGGAAATTAACCGTAAGCCTCAAACCAGTCGCCTGGCTTGAAAAGGGCAAGTTGAACATGGCTAGCCTATCTCATTGATTGAGGCACTAGCCTATCTCATAAAAACTGCTGCAGTTCACCACACACGGATGGGTGTCCTGTATGGTGCAATGAGGGCCCTGAGGTGTCATAGTAGCACTAATAAATTCTAATATTTTTACAAGCATAAAAATAAACGATTTATTAATACCATAGTCATCAATATGAACAACAAGCACATTTCACAAAATAGATTCAGTCTCTATTCAATAAAATATACAAGAGTGTATATTTTCATCAATTTTGAAGTGTTCACAAATGTTTAATAGTTAATTTTTTTGTATTAACAAGTTTTAAAAGTTTTGATTTCAAGTTATAAAAGTACATAATATGTCAGACCAGTAATTTTTTTCACCTTTATACAATGGTTTTTGGACAGGAAACTCAAACCAACCCAAAAATTCGAAGTTTTATTAATGATAAAAGGAATATTTATAATTATATTCTTAAAAGAAACCTACAAAAACTAGAACTACTTAGCAAATATAAAGTTCACAAAGTCTATATCATGAATTTAATTAGAACAATCTATTAAAAATACAAAATAGAAATCTATTTAGAGAAACATTATTTATATAATTTTTTTAAATTGGTTTATGATGAGGAGTTTTCCTGTAGATTGATTAGAAGTTCAGCATTTGTGATTCTGCATTACATACTATTTTGACATTATTTATATTGGCATCAATGGGAGTACCAATAAGGGGAGCAGGAGAGGACACCAGATGCTAAAAGTTTTACCCACCCAGAATTCTGATAAGCCATACCCTGGCCTAAAACTAGAATTTCATGTCAAATCAGAGATTTTATAAAAGTATTTATGGTTAATTATAACCACTTATCTTTCAACAATGTTTAGCATGAAAGTAAATGTACAAACTCTATTGTACTTCAACAAATCATAGCGACTTCAACTCATTTAAATACTTGCTATTAGAATAGAATACAAAGTTAAAAAAAAAACTTGTATGGTTATTTGAGAACATTTCACACAAATGTTATTTGTAAAGCAATCAAAATTTACAGCTTTTTTATATTAAAACCACACTCTTCTATGTATACTACTAGACCAGTTGTGAATTTATATGGAATGAGCTAGCTAAGCAGTTGATGCCCTGCAAAAGTTGTAATTGACAAACTAACATTTCTATTTTCTAATGTAATAAATTTAAGTGAGTAAAAATTTTTTTCTTTATAAATCATGTTAAAATCCCTGCATATTGCTAATGCACCTGGCCGCCATTGTGGTGACATAACTGTATTCAACAATCAGTACTGTTAACAAAAACCACTGGTTGACAAGTACACTTATTGAGTTAAGTTGTGTGGAGGTCACCCACAATTTTTGTTATTTTTGTTTTGTTGGTACTTCTTATGGTTGACTAAAAAAGTAACTGCTATTATAATTTCCACAATAAGTGAACCTGATTTCATTAAAATTAAAGATATCTCATTTTATATTACTTTAGGTGATGTTTAAAAAAATCTTCCTTTTCTTTTGTTATTGTTTCTTTTTCAGGATTTTTTGTTTTCCATAGACTGCAAATTAAATAATAATCATTTAAATTAGCCTTTTTTTTAAACTCTTGCAATAAATTAACAAACCAACTTATTAAATTATTACAATAATATTTTGGGGATTATTCATAAATATTTGAATAATTAATAAATAATTTATCTCATGAATTTTGTTCTATCTATACTTTCTATTGTCAAATGATGTCACGGGGGCCATATAGCTTCTTTAGATATAGCTCCATGACAAGGTTCCAGTGCATTAGCATTTCCAGGAGTTATACAGCAGATAGTGGTTGTATAATATGCTATTATTATAAGTTTAATTTACTCTTTACTAGAAATATTTTAGAGATAGAATTACCACTCTCTAAATAACTAAGCTGATGGGATTCCACACTGTAACACAATTTTAATTTTAAGGTTGTCTTTTAGTCAACATAGTGACTTTAAATAAATCCAAGAGTCAATATTTCTACTTTGACTGACAAACAATCTCGTATCAGTCTTTGAAAATCACAGATCACATTCTGACTCTTGCAATACTTTCTCTAAAAGTTTTTTCATTTTTTCAGGGACTGGAACACCTGAGTGTGCTGCCTTAGGTCGTCGCTTCCAAGACGCTTTTTTAGCGCTTTTCGTTACACTAGAGGGTAAAGGAACCGATTTATTTTCTTTAGGCTTAGGTGTAGCTACTTTCGGAACTGTACTAGTTCGTTGTCTTGATCCAACAGCATTATTATCTGAAATTCAAAATAATGATTATAATATCAGTCTGTACCTTAATCTTTTTTTAATAAACAAGTTTAAAAATAAAATAAACTTCACTTTTTAAAGGCACTTTCGCAGTTGCTGGCTTACTCGACATGGTCTTTTTCAATGGAGAAGCTGGAGTTTTGCTTTTCGAAGCCAATGATTTTACTATAGTACGTTCTTTTGGAGTAACTTTTGTTGTTTCTTTAGGAGCCATTACCAGTGTTTATGAAAGTATTATTAAATTACTAAACACCAAAAAACATTAACTAAAAACAAGTTAAGACAAAACTGTAACGTACGTCATTTTAAAATTACTAACACACACAGACCAAGAAGGAAATAATACGTAAATCAGTAAAAGTTTGTCTATACTTTCAATACCTAGTAGATATCGATACTATTAAAAGCGTTAGTACAGCACGGTAAGTACTCACAAGTACTTATAAAAATTGCCGGTATCGAGAATTGCTTGATACGGCTTATTTACAGTTGGCATTTAGCTTTTTCTATTTAATGTAATAAATCTATGAAAGTATTATTCTGTGGTTTTCCAATTATCATTTTTTTATTAAGGATTTTATCGTATCGTGATTTTAAATTGCCTAATTTTTTAATGACACGACTCCTTGTCGGCATTGCAATTAAAATTCCGCGCGATTTTTGTCAGTTTTATGTAGCTCCCGGTCGAGACCAACATCTAGAAAACCGGCCAAGTGCGAGTCGGACTCGCATACGTAAGGTTCCGTACCAGAAACGAGCAAAAAATCACGTTTGTTGTATAGGAGCCACCTCAAATAAAATAAATTCTAGGTTATAGTCTTTGTGAAAATTTCAACTGTTCCCTTTTACGATTCATGAGATTCAGCCTGGTGACAGACATACAGACAGACAGCGAGGCCTTAGTTATAGCGATCCCGTTTTACCCTTTTGTATGGAACCTAATAAATGAACTACTGAACAATTTTAATTTGTTAGTTTGTTTGATTCTAAGCCTGAATTCAAATTAACTCATGTGTCCGAATTCACTTCAAAAAGTGGCATCCACTCAAACTTGAATTGGTAATAACGTTTCGGGGCATAAGTGAAGTAAGTTTCGAAATGACATTAAAAGAGAATATCTGAGACACGTATATTCAATTAATTTTGTTTTGTATTTTTGTACAAAAAATGGAATCTATAGAATTTCTACACTAAATTACGTGAATTCGGAGTCATGTATGAATTCGAATTCGAGTCTGGATTTTTACAGAATCGCAGGGCAGATCTGCATACAATGTCCTATAATCGTATATAAAATATATTCTTATGAAATAACACAAGAAACTAAGTTGAAAAAATACAAATAATGACAATAAAAATATATAAGCTAAAACTAAAAAACACATCAACTACACATTCATAAGGTTTAAATATTTTTGATGGTGTTTAATTCCAGAGTTATTATTCTTAAGGCGGTTGCAGTGTGTTATAAAATATAGATGTTGTATGTGGGTGCGTATGTTTAATTGCTTAGCTTTCAATTTAGGATATACTACAAGTTTCATCAAAAACGGTTCAGGAGTTTTGAAGATATAAACTAATAAAATTTAAAGAGAAACGACTGAACAACAATTTTTTTTAAGTTGGTGCCAGATATTTACAAGAACCCTACCCTCCAATCCGCATTGGGCCAGCGTGGAGGGTCATGGCCCATCCTCCTTAACCATCCATAAGGAAGGCCTGAGCCCCTGCAGTGGGGACGTAAAAGGGCTGATGATGATGATGATGATTTACAAGAAAAATAACATGTATGGTACGAGAAAAATAGAAGCACAAAATCAAAAAGAAATCGATATCGATAAAAAATATGCAAACTCGTTTGACATAGAAAATGTTCTTTTCGGATTTTGATAGAATGCTAAATACGCAATCTTTTGTTTTTTAAATGAAATAATCATATCATCTGAATATTTAGGTGATATCTGATGAAAACCGTATTTTATTTTATTTTAAAACAAAAACTACTGATTCAATTTAGATAGAATTTAAATAAGACTCTCTGGTCCACTAAAAGAGCAATTTTGAAAGTTGGTCACTAATTGGCGAAAGCATTGGTGAACATGCATAAAAATAGAAGAATCAACAGTCGGGATCCATTCAAATTATACGGGGCTCCGTCGATTGGTCAAAAAAGAATAAATCCTGACATCGTGACTGAAATCCTTCTATTCTGCTTTTGTATTTTTGATGTTTTATGTGTGCATAGATTTTAAAACTATTTCAATGGAGCAGTTATTCAATAGTACTTAATAACATTCCAAAATAATGGGCTTGTTTATAATTTTTTGTGAAAGTAATTCTTTTTTTCTTCTTTCTTTTGTGTTCACGCAGTTGGGTTTTATTTTAAAAATAAAAATGACGTTTCTTATCAATTTACTTTCTTATATTTTTTATAATTCACTGAATCCAGAATGCATATAGTTCAAGTTAATGACACTTCGACTAACGCAGTAATATAATACAATTTTTTTTTGCTAATCAAACACAATAAAATTTATTGTTTATAACTTGAATACTATTAAAATAAATAAATAATCTCCATAAAATTTTAAATTCGCGCTATAGAATAATACGATGTGGCAACATTACCATTTGGCGTCCATCTTTATTCTTTGATGTGTTGTGTTGTTACAAAAAATTGCAAAAGAAAATAATAAAAACTACTTCTACAATTATTGTAACATAAGAAATACAATCTGAAATATTATTTGCTCGTTATAGCATTAAACTTTAACTTGGTATGACGCAGTGTATTTGTTGTTTATCAAAAGTGTCACAGTATCTCGTTTGTTCCACAAAAAAGTTTCACTGTAATTTCTTTGCTATTGACCTACGTGCTAATTATTATCGGATCGGACAACCTTCGAATGTTTTCATTGGATTTTTCAAAATCAGTGCTCACTTGGCATAATTTCTACGTAATTAAAATAAGATTGTTTCTATTCTTACAGCAGATGAAGTGTGAAAATGGATAGGTTGAATCAGTTGCGAGGCAAAGCGGGGACTTCTCGAGATTCCACGCTCGACACTACGTCTCCACCGAGTGAAGCTTACATGACGGCTAACGAGAGTTCATCAAAATATTTCTCTCTGTCAGAAGTGGACACCACATTTGATATTTCTCCAATAAAAGATGTGTCTTCCACTATCGAAACAGAGAGGACAATAACCGAACCGGACAGACTGATATCGAATTTGTCTCCAATAGGAAAGAAAAATGACTTCTTAGATAGCTACAAAATCGGTAAACAAATAGAAGCTGCTAATATTTTGTCTGGTGGTGTGGATATATTTGATGATAATGATAATTCTTATGATGGTGATGAACTTGTTATTGATGATAATGTTGAAGGTGAGGAGAAAAGCATCCCAGAAATTAAAATCCCCGAGTCTAAAATCAAGCAAGACATCCCTATTGAAGCAACTCTTGTTGAGTCTGAGCCGCTGCCCAAAAAAGATTCAACTGAAGTGACTCTTCAAATAGATGGAAAGAATGTTGATGCTATTGATATCGGCAACGGTTTATATTTGTATAGAAGGGAGGGTGAAGAGGAACTTGCTGCAGTTCAGATTGATGGCAATCAACAACAATCAAATTTTAAGTTTCTGAAAGTACGGTAAGTAATTTTAAATTTCTGAAAGTATGATTAGTAATTGTAATGCAATATATCAAGCTTTAAACTATTCAACAATTAATTTTGTTGATATAAGTAGTTTCTTTGCTTACAACAAAGTGGCAATATTAATGTAGAATATTTTATTAAGTAATTTTATAAAGTAAATGTCTACTTGTTACTTGACTCAATATGGAATGGCACATCACAAGTATGTTATGGAAATAATGATTTGTATTTTTATAACATACATAGCCAGTTTCATTTGATTAAAATGACTTCATCCATACAATTTTGATATTCATAAGCGCCTAAAAGGGGTCATTAAACCTTAATAGATGTTTGTGCAACTCACCGCATATCTTAGATTAGACAAATTATCCTTAAGTTTGTATTAAAGACTATCTGATTTGTGTCATGGACTAAAGAAAAACATCATCATCATCATATCAACCAAGAGAAAAACATATTTGGCATGAAAGTTAATTATGTGTATTTAACACTGGATAAATAAAATGTGTAAAAAAATAGACAGTTCCAAAATGTATTCTCCGCCATTCATAATGTAATTAAAATAATATTAAAAGATAATTATTTATTCAACAGTACAAAATTAATATGACCATTTTTTCTTTGATGACCTATGGTGCAGCTGTCATAAAAATGAATTTCTGACATGTCAACTTGAATGTGGCAACATAACTTAGAAATAGTGTTTAATTTTAGACATATTTTTTGTTTTTTGGCCTACATACAATTAATAACTAGTTATTTGATTCTAAATTTAGTAATAAATAACAGAAAAATATTTTTCTTTAATGTGCTGTTACAAGGTTATTTTTGTAGTGATGTACCAAAGATAACACAAGTGTTATAAAATATATATCATAGTACCAAAATATAATATGAAATAATATGTTTTTCTTATTAATGACAATAATAACAGTGCCCGCTCAGGCAATTTGGATTCTGATTAAACTTGTCACCAATACTTCAAAGAACTATTTTAGATACATAGTTGGTAATTCAAACCAATCTTTTTAATTAATACATTCACATTTTTTTTCATTACATACATATTCACAAACAGAACCGAGACAAAAAAGTATTCGTTAAAAATAACATCAATCTAAACTTTCACCTGTCTAGTTGCGACTTTTTACATATGTTAGGATTGCATTCTTTAGGCACCTGTAGTAACAGTAGTCTTAACAAACATACCCTGAGTCCTTTGAAACGAAATGTCATAACATGTAAGTCAGTAGGATCTCGATCATCTGGATTAATTGGAACGGAGAGGTGAGTTTGGATAATTGATGTTTTCTTGGGACAAGCTCAGATAAAAATAACACCATATTTCATAAAAACAGTGCAGTATATTAACATTGAAATATAAAACATCTTAAAAAAATTAAGTCAAGCCTATGTGGCAGCAAGACACAAACCTATTCCCAATGTTTTGTTAAGATAAACTAAGTCAGCATTTCATCAATCAAGGTTCTACTGTTAACCTATAATTATTAATTACAGTGAAAATGATGAAGGAAACTTAGAAGTTTATGAGGAAATACAAATTGAGGTCCCCAAAGAAGTAGTAAGTTTTACATATAATTATTATTTTCAATAGTATCTGAGATCATAATAGTTCTATCTTTTACTCATTTGAGACCTTTAGTTAGAAAAAAATTTAAAAGAATTATATATGTACATTTTAGATTTGTATTATTTAGGAGTTGTTTATAATTTATATTTAAACTGCGTTATTATTTTTAATGATATTCATATTTAGAAACTCAACATGATTTTTACATAGGTATATGGATAAGTTAAACTTTGTGCTCAAAAATAAAATGTTAAACTTACAGCCTGCTCAAGAAGGAAGCTCTAGCGACGCGACTGCATCCCATGTACCTATTAGAGATATAAATGATGTTACCAATAATAAAGTGACAGAACGAAAAAATAAAACAGAAACTGAAACTTTGCCAACTGTGAATAATATAGATAAAGAATCTAATGAAGACAATTTGAATTTGGAAGCTAATGGAAAATTGATAAAAATTTGTGAGTCACGGAAATCGCCAGTTGTGGGCAGTTATACATCCATGACATATCATTCAACACCAAATAAAGAAGGTATTCCACTAACTAAAACAATGGTAGATTTGCAGCTTCATCCAAACAGACATTCTGATAATGTTAAGAAAACCATTGAAGTTCATACTGATAGTGGTAAACCTAAAGTGGATAAAGTTATAAAAGAAAATGATGATAAAATCTTCAAACCAGATAAGAAACAAGGTGATTCAGATCAAAAGGAAGAATTGAAAACTAAACATGTACTTGCAGAGCATAGTCATAAAACTGTAGAAAAGACTAATACTGATGAAAATGTAGTTGCAGAGCAAAGTTATAAAACTGTAGAAAAGACTAATACTGATGAAAATGTAATAGCAAATGAAAGAGTAGAAAAAGAGGAAATTATGTGTGAACATGTAGAAAAGAAAGAAACGAGAATAGAAGAGTCCTGTAAATCCCATGAAACTGAAAACTTAAATAAACCTGATGTAAGTAAGAGTACAGAAGATGAACCTAAAATTATTGATAATCTGTCACAGTCTATTCTTGACACTTCAAAACATAATGAGGATGGGCAAACTATTGAAACAAAATCCACTGATAAGTTAGATTCAGAGGTAATACTGAAGAAACCGAATTTGCTACGATCTGACAGTGAGATTGAGGAAAGCAAAGAAATTAATAAAAGGCAATGTATGAATGAAGAAAAAGTTTTGAGTACTGAAATTCACCATTCAAAAAGTGATATTGATACTATTACTTTACAAACTGAAAATCAAAGTGGCGAAAAAGTATCCACAATTAATGAAAGCGAAAAATACATAAAAGATACTGCTGAAGTGTTAGTTAAAAAAACTGATAATGTTTCAGAATCACAACATATAACTGATTTTGCCACCAAAGAAGAGAATAATAAAATCCCTAACAAAGAAAATGTTACTATCGGTTCTTTAGATCTAAAAGATAAATGTACATCAAATTCTGTCAAAATTGAAATGGATAATAAAATTCAAAATCTCGAAAACATAGAAAAATCAGTGTTACCAGATATGCAAATAAAGATAAGTGTTCCTGGTAATAGTAACAAAGATAACACGTCATTAACGAATGTTCAACCAAAAATTGATATTAATAAAAGTCAGAATTTGCTCCAAACTTCAGATAGTAAAAATATTAAATTAGAAAAGAACACAAACACAAAAATTGACAGACCATTATCCACAGAAACTAAAGAAAGTCTTATTAACATGGATTCAACTACGATCAAAGAAACTGAAACTAAAATATTAGTATCTAGTGAATTATCTCCAAAAGAACAGTCTTCCATTTTGGATAATAGTAATAAAAAAGAACTTTGTAATAAAGATTCTAAGTCTTTATTGGATAAAACAATCATTCTTAATAAAGAAATAGCAATAGTGAAAAAGACATTGCCTAAGGTCAGTACAATAACAGAGCAGAAACCAGCTAGCACTAATAATGTAGCTGTTCCTTTTGGCAAATGGACAGAAGCTAATAGGCAAGCATTTCTGAATAGAATAAAAGAAACGAAAGTGCCTTCAAATAGTTCAAATGGAAAACAAATAAAGAATTCCAATGATTTGAATCGTAGAGATGTTTTAAAAAAAATTGACAGTCATAGACAAACTCATACTATTGCAGCATCAGTCAAAGTACAAGATTTTGGAAGTAGTAATAGATTGCCTATAAAGAAAGAAGCGTCAGTGTTTTCAAGTAAATCTATAACACAGGATATCAAAGCCCCTGTTAAAACTGAAATTACTTTACTAAAATCCAATCCTGTTATTGCCAAAAAGGTTGTTAAACAAGAGTCCATACCCAAATTACAAAACAATTTAATAAAAATAACAAACGAATCAACTACTAAAAAAGAGCTATCTCAAAGAAAAGAAATAAACAATCAAGATTTAATTGACAAGACAATTGAAGATATAATCAATAGAGCCATACCTGTTAAATCTCAACCAGATAATAATCAGGATGTTATGAATGAAACCTTAGATGCTTTACAAAACAAAGACAAATTCGATGAAATTGAAAAGAGAATGAATGAGTTACACGGTTTTGAAAGCGTTGCACCGTCTGATGATGCTGGCGCACATCGTGCCGATCAGAAAATATTCCTCAAATCTGATAATCAAAAATTGTCTAATAAGCAGAGTAAAATACCCAGCCTCCTACCTTTCGGTAACAAAAATCAGCGAAAAGGCGTGAAAGAAAATATTATAGATATTGACTCTGAAGAAGAAATTATTGAACATGAGCCAATAACTGGTGATATGGAATTAAATAAGAAAATTATTACAAAATTACCTGTTTCTGGTAATCAGGAAACAACTGCTCATACTACTACGGATACCCAGAAAGATGCTATTATTACCGAGAAAGACTTTGATAAATTCGTTAGACGAAACTCTATCAGTTATGAGAACTGTATAACTGTTAATTTTGATGGCAAAGAACCACATAACGTTGTTCAGACAGTTATACAGAAGGAAAGTGTTTTGAAAACTTATTCGAAACGTGAATTTTTACATTATGGTAACAAACCAGCATCTCCTATAAAGCATGAGACATACAAATCAAGTACTCATTCAAATCAAAATACATCTAAAATTAGAATTATACACAACGAAGAAATAATAAATAAAAATTACCATTCTAAAGTGAATATGGCTTATCAAAATGCTATTACTGCTAAACGTCAATCGGAACGTCCAATAACTATAATAGAAGACAAACCTGTAAAGGTTGTGTTTATGGATAGTGGTGCTGAATTTAATCCAAAACAATTAAATGCCTACGGTAAAGATTTGTCGCCAGCAAAAAGTCAACCCTCTAGTATTGAGGGTAGTACAATAAGTACTAGCGATTTACTTGATTCAGACACCTTCGATTCGATGGATGATGGAAAGTCTCAAGATGATATTAAATTAAAAACGAAACATCAAAGAAAACAAGTTTTAACACCAGTAGAAACACCTGAGTTAGAACTAATAGAACCTGGAGATTTAGGGCTCGAAGTTTCACCAAAAAAGAAACGGAAAACAGAAGAAAAAGCAGAGAAGAGCTCAAAAGCCTTGGTGCCGAAAAAATCTTATTTATTGGGACGTGGGGCGATTTTGGAAGATGCTGGTTCTAAACCTTACGAACTACCGAATATCTTTGAAAAAGAACCATCAAAAGTCGATAATAACCACGTTACACATAAAAATACAGCGTCAGCGATTGATAATCTCGTCAAAGCTGCGGAATTGTTAGATACTCAATCAGAAAATCTGAATACAACTACGATTGAAATTCAGAATTGTGGTAATCAGCAAATTACACCTATTAAAAGAGGAAGGGGTCGTCCTAGAAAATATCCTCTGCCTGAAGGTACTATAGATAAAAGTAAAACTCCCTCACCACAAAAGAAACCTAGACTTTCAGAAGTAAAATTAACAAAAAATATATATACAGATGATGATGATGATGGAGATGATGATGATGAAAACAGTGATGGAGAGATTATAACGGAAAATTGGACAATGGGAAAAATTAACGAAAACATAGTTTGTCCTATTTGTAATAAACTGTTCCGTTCTGAAAACGTAGTTTTTAAGCATGTTAAACATTGCACTGGACCTTCTCCAAATAGATCTGATTCTGGAAGTAAAAGTCCAAGAAGATTCAGGGAATCACAGGACCATGAATCAAGTAATAGCAAATTACATGAAATAGATGAAGATTATAATGAAAATTCCCGACAACAAATAAGAAATAAAAGAAAGTCAAGAGATACAAATCCAAAATTCATGGCTAACAAAGAAGACGTTATTATAATTACAGATACTCCAATAAAGATAAAACCTGACAAATTAGAAGGTATGAAACACGTAATATCCAAGAAATCCACCATTAACAAAAGCAAATCATCTGATAAAGTAAACAATCTGCTTTGTCACTTTTGCGGCAAAACATTTAGGCAACTCTCTTACTTGGTTAATCACAAATTGCAACATGAAAAGGACGACTCAAAGAAATTTGAATCTGATAAAACGAAGTCAGTTAAATCAGTGTTCAGTTGCGAAGTTTGCAAGAAAGAATTCCGAAAATTACATCATTTGGTACAACATCGTTTCATTCACAATACTGTTAGCGTTTCATCTACTAAATTACCTAGGAAAAATTCTGCCGAGCACAATGACAATAGAGCCCCAAAAGACCAGAATGTTCCTAAGCAAAATGACGATACCAGTGCTGGTTTTCGTTGTGAGCCTTGCGATAAATCATTTAGAAAATTACATCATTTAGTAGAACACAGAGAAACGCATGATGGCATAAATAGACAGAAGAACACGACGAATGTACTAGCATCGACAGACAAAGTTCCACCGCCCCCACAATGTGAAATATGCAAGAAAACCTTCAGGAAAATACATCACTTGATTGAACATAAGGAACAACACTTAGAAACGAGTTCAGAAAAATCTGATGACAGAAAAAGTTCTCTGTCGACTAAAGACATTATTCATGAATGCCCACTTTGTTATATGGTCTTCCCTAATGAGCATTCATTAAATAAACATACAATTATTTGCCAAAGGAAAAAACGTCAGTCTGCATCTAAACAAAATAAGCAGACACAAGAATTAGAAAATATTGACGAAAATAAATTAATCACTAATCCTAATGAAGAATTGAAGAAAAATAATGATGTTATAATTGTATCAGCTGAAGTCATAACCAGTAAGAAAGATATTCAAAGTGATTCACTGGAAGAAACCTTGGAAAACAACATAGATGAAACCGATGTTGTAAATTCTGCAATAACTAATGCAGTCGGTGTATCTACTGAATCACCAAAACCTAACATCACAATTGATAAACCCAAGGATCACGCTATTGAAGTATCTAATATACCTGAACAAGAAGTTATTAAAATTATATCAGATAATCCAAATAATACTAATAAACAGCATGCAAGTAATAACAAACCAGAGATAAAAGAATCAGTCAAAAAAGTTTTTTCTAAAGAGAAAATTGCTCCAACCATTACAAAACGACACAAACCGAATCTCCCATTAACGATTGTTGAAACTACAGAAACAACTGACGAGGATGATGATGATGATGGTGTAAGATACATGCTGAACCCTGATTACAAAATGGATGATAATGTTGAAGGGAAATTATTCATGAAGGTTAGAGCTAAAAAACGTAATTCGTTGCAAATCGAACGGCCTAACTCGAAAGATTTAGTTAAAAGACGAATATCCCTTCAACACCCCCCTAAATTACCTCGTTTGAAACCCAAATCGATTCAAAGTAAAACTGTGTCTACTAATTCATTAACTAAAAATATTACCAAAATTGCTAAGTTAGATACAATTCATTTCACGGATTCGGACGATAGCGACGTTAAATATTCATTTCCAAAAACTGTTCCTGATAAAGTTGCAAAGTCAAATGTCGAAGAATCTAAAGAACCAAAAAAGAAAATGCAAAGAAAATCATTAGCAGAAAAAAGAAAGTCACTTAATAGCATAGCTAAAAGGAAATCACTTGGAAAAGCTGTAGGAGCGAAGCACAAATCTAAACCTTCTCCATTGAAGCCAATTAAAAAACGTGAGTATAAGTGTGAGCCTAACCCGGTATCTAGAGCACCATTTTGAATTACGTTTGATCACCCGCTTTCGTGAAGAATTGACCAAATTCACGTTGACCAAAAACTGTTTTGGATATGTGGAGTCCTGATAAACAATGGTTAATTTTCTTATACAAACTTCTACTCCCATTTTAATTTGCTGTTTTTCGGGATAAAATATAACCTCTAACCGTAGCAGAGTGGTTCGCATGCCGGTTTCAAGGTGTCGCCATCTCTGAGGTCCCGGGTTCGATTCCCGGTCGGGTCAATGTAGTTAATGAACTTTTCTATATTGACTCGGGTCTGGGTGTTGTGGTACCTTCGTTGTCTCTGATACTCCATAATACGGGGGCTTTAGCTACTCATCTTGGAATCTGAGCAATGTTGTTAAATAAATATATATATATCAATATATATCTGTTCATCATTTGCTAGAGTCGCCATCTAGTGAGGTGCTTTTTAGTGCTTTCTTTTTTTCTTTTTAAATACTTCCTCATTCGTACGAGTTTAAGTATAATATAGAACATAGATGTGTGTGATATGCTTTCTATCAAGAATAGGGGTGTAGACAACTTTTTTTAATATTTTAATTTTATAGATAATCATGAAATATATCTAAAAAGAAAACATTCATATAATAAGTTGTAATCTGAAAAATATATATTTATCGCGATAACGCAAATTTCTGTCATTGCGTAGCTGTGACGTCACGCTCCTCTATTCTATGCATGCATACGGTTTAATTCTCTAAGGTCTGATATGAGTAAGAGGGCGTGACGCCACGTGCTGTTTTCGGTCATGTGACAACGAATATAAAATATTTGTATTTTCATAATTTAAGTAATATTATAAATAAGCTTAAAGTTTGATTATCGGTAACGATATATGAAACACTACCAGGAAAAAAAATGTATTTATTTTCGTTTACTGTTTACACCCGCAAGTGCAAGCAAATGACGAGTGTCAATAATTAGTATGTCAAAGCTTACGAATTTTAAAAACTTATAGGTAGCGTACAGGTGGAACATAGATGCGACTGCGGTCAGCTGTTCAGTAGCGCGGCGTTGTTATCGCGACACACAACGCTCGCGCACACGCCGCCACGGATACGGCGACGGCGCCGATCACCCTCACCTGATAACACAACCATTCCCAAACAATTGGGCCAGTGCAAATCCACCACCGCCATCCCCAAATCAGAGGTGAGCGCTTCCAGAAAGTCCAGCGTCAAGATTGACTCTACCAATTCTAATGCCTCCCGGCAAACGGCGAGCAGGAAGTCGAGCGGTCAAAAAGCGGAATACAAAACACCAAATGCTAGAAAATCTCTAAAAACTAAAGAGTCTCCAAAAGGCGGTGTGACTATAAACTCGAAATTAAGGAGGGCGCACAAGGGTGTACCTGTCCCAGATAAAATGAAAAAGCTCATGGAGAAGTTTAAAAGTAATTCCCCACTTTAAGACCGGACTGAGACGTTTCCTTATCGATCGGAAACTATAGGCTAGTGTAGGTTAGGTGAATCGCTAGTTGTAATTATTCTCTAGATACAAATCACGCATCACGACGCTCTCGATGACGTAACAGACGGACCATTATATCATAGAAATATTTTTACATGTTGACGATTAAGACACGCACCGACCTACATTAAAATATAATAATATTTTTATTGTGTGCCGAAAAGCGTTGATATTGTCTATATGTAAATTAGAGAACTTATTAATAATAATAAATATATTTTGTCAATTTGTTGTAGAATCTAAATAATTAACATTTGTAAGTTCGATGAAATATTTATGTTTTGCTATTAGTTTTAAGTATATGATTCTCTTTGGCATTACAATTATTTGCACAGTGCAATTATTTTAGCAAGCAATTGTTTTTATATTACCACTGAAGAAGATTTGTACCTCTTTTAAATAATAATTTTAACATGCTTTATATCAATTCTCTCAAATATATATAGTATATTGTACTCTTTGAATAATAATGTAATATAGTTATGAAAAATGAGCTTAACAAGTCGACACTTTGGAGTTATGTTAAAGGAATTGTATAATATTGTGTATGAATAGTTGATTTTATTACGAGCTTTTCAGAAGTTGGGATTACTAGATAATGCTTCATTATATGTTTTCATCACTATAGGAGGGTTTGGGAGAATATATAAAGTTTATTAGTTTCTCTAATGATCATTATGAACTTATATCATTAAAAATGTTTGTGTGATGAATTAAATCACTAATATTGATCAATTTCAGGCAGGAGACCAAAAAATGATATTTTGTAATTATCAATATACCTATTGATTGAATATCGCTGTAGTTTAGATGGATGTAATAAAATATCTCGGTTATAGTGTATTTGTTGATGACTTGTTCATGTTTATACTAGGGACACATGGGTTATCAGAGAGTGTTGCTACCAATTTTAACTATATAATAAAGGCAAGGCAAGATCTTCAACTTGATTTACCATTTTTCAGATTATAATTATTTAGAAGAACTTAAAAATTCGGATTGTATACAAATAATTCATATCCAGAACATGAAATCCACAATATTTATTTATACTATAAAAAAGTTCTTTGCATCTTAAGGTGAATGCGCCAGTCTCAAATAAGACTGTAGTTCGAAGAGCAAATAATCAAAGACAATGAGCAAAAATCTGATAATATTAAATGATATTCTTTAAAATAAAAAATAAAATATTTTTTCCTTTTTTGAATATGTATGATTAGTACTGGCCAACAACGGAAACTGATATAAATACGTGTTTATGTTTTTAAAAATAAATACACGCAATAAGTCATTAAAGTGCTTAATAATGACAAATTATGGATCAATTTTACAAAAGATTAATAAATGTCAATTTATCAATATTCACTTCACTGAATGAAGGTTAGTGGAAGTACAATTTTGTCTGTTAAATATTGGATTTTTTTAAGTCGCAAATAGTCAATTGGGTAATGGTCACCATAGGCACTACCACCCTATTTTATAGGAGTAGTATGGTTAAAATAGTAGGCGATACTCTCCATTTTTATAGTGAACTAGGACCAAAATATTTATCAAATTCTCTGTTTGTAATAATATATTACGTTGTTTTTAATTTTAAATATGTTTATGTACTCTCGTGACTAACTGTATGTAATGAATGGCTAAAATAGTAGAATGTCTCGTGAGGATTTATGTTTTAGAAGCATTTAACATGTGTGACACGTTCTGGCAGGGTTATCATTTCGGATTTTTTGTGTTGACGGTAAAATTACTACTCGAATAGTAATTTTTCGTTAAATCTTAGAATAAGTCTGTAATTTTTGTTTTCATTACGGTTAAACAGCCTTTATTTGTCAACTAAAGTATTCTGAAATCTTCAATGAAGCGTAATTGGAACTAGACTAGTATTTAGTCTGTTGGCAAATAATTTTGTAACGTGTAGGAAGCTAGTTAGTTCTATTATTGGACAAGTAGCGTCCCCCACCACTTCGTATTGATTACAGAAAAACAAACATCGGGACAGGTAAAAGTAAACAAAATCTTGTAAAATAATCAGAAGAATAATTAATTATGTTCGCGATATGAATATTTTCAGTTTTATGTCTTCAGTCAAATTGGTCAAACTATACTATCAGAATATGCGCAACCACATAGTGATAATAGTCATAGTTCTATATAACTCTGAATTTATTCTTAATTCCTGGTATTAGTATTATATTATGAGTAATATTTTTTATACTATTATCTGTAAAGTTTAGCGTGCTTGGTCCGCGAGGCGGAAGTTAAACAACTTTCTCAAGGACCGGAGGAGTCCATGCTTCGGAAGACACGTTGAACCGTTAGTTTTAGCTACATCTCTAGTCGGTTTTTTGGTGGCTCTCATAGGCTGATGATTATTATCTTTAGGTATGAGTTAATCTTACAACATTTTTTGCCTTTTCCGTCGACACATCTCTTTTTCTGTTACTCAGAACAGCATTTTGCGAAAGCAAGAAAAATAACCTATCTATAGATCGAAGATGCGGTTTTCTCGATCTAAAAATGGCTTCTAAGCGACAAGAAAATTTTAGTTCGCTCCATTTATAGAATATCCTGATATATTGACATAGCTCAGTTCATATAAACATAATTTTACTACTTCCTATAAAATAATCATCTGCTCCGAAACAATAGCATTATCTATTTAACTTTCAATCACGAGGAGTGACTAAAAGTATAATATTGCTTTGGCTACCTTCAACTTTAGTCTATTAAGCTTCAATAGATCTTTCTGTTCCTAACTGTACAAAGGATTATCAACATAGGGCTAATGCAGCTACAAAAACTATGTGACTGATTGCTAACAATTTCGGATATAAAATTAAATCTACAATTATTTTTAAATTCTAAGATGTGATTGTCCAATGAAATCCTTGATGTTATCCCCGCATATATATTACACGTGTCACACACATAACATAAATTTTATATATGTAGATGATATCATTATTTTTAATATGATGATGCAATTTTGATTAATTGGGTTATAAATAAACTGTCTAAAACACATTTAAAATTGTATTATTTCATTAACAGCCGAAACTAATCGGTACTACCGCAGTAGACTAAATATTATCCCTTTCAGTTCGGAATGTCCAATTCTCGAACTGTTCAATCAACGGGTTTTATGAATAATGTTTTTCGTTGGTATTGAGTCCTGCAGGATATCGGAGTCGTCCATTTGCGTGAGGTGAACCGTAGCGGTTTTTACCGAGTAGGCCAGCTATACTCAACCTCGGACCAAATAAAATGTACTCAACCTATTTTTTTTAAGGCTGGGTGGTTTGGAGAGCCCTAGTTTGACTGGGCTTAAGGTACATTTCCTTTTTATTTAAAAAAAGGCATTTTGACTTCACGTGGTACCCAAATAAGTCGCCAACCATATTAAGCTGTGCTGGATATCAAAGAAACTCGAACTCATTGGAAGAATGGCACAGGGATTTGAATAACCGCATTATAGCAGCATTTAGAGCAGATGACCCGATTTTGAACCCAAAAATCGTTTGTAACATAGAGACTGAAAATTGAAAAACCTTTACACTACCTCCACTTACTGGACTATTCTAAAAAATATCAGTGACCTCTCACGTAACCTACCTGTACCGGTTCCTGACTTTACCCGTGTCTATCAGTATAGCAGCACCAACATTTAAGGTTTTGTAATGAATTCTTAACGCATCTAGTTCCTTGATTACGAAAGATGGACAAATAACAAAGTTACGTATAGACAGCTCGTGACAAAAATATGCAAGTTTTTTAAAGGTTAATATTTCAATACTAAGCGATACATATGCTGAATCTTTAACATACTTAAATGTTAAAGATACAGCATATATATCGCTTAGTATTTGATGCGGAGGTAAGCTGCTGGATACCCCTGTGAGGGGGCGCGGAACCTACAGCTTGCTAAATGTGTTTGTTCTATTAACTAAGTCTTAAGTTTTTTTTTATCAACTAACTACCAATAATTGACAAATAAATTAAGTTTCAATATTTCGAAGCTCATTTTCACACTTCTACGTTCCGCTGAGTCGGCGCGTTTCACGATTGTGTAATGCGACTTTTTTATATCAAGAATAAGTTTTTCGCTATATTTATACTATTAAAAAGCACCTATATTATGTGTAGCGATAAGGTTTAAAATCAAGTAGGGAAATTTGACAGTTTTGTATAGTATATTCTTAAAGAAAAAATACTTAAAAACTCCACTGTCTCGGTACTCCGAGATGGGATTCGCACCCACGACCTTTCGCAATTCGGGTGACTGCTCTTACCACTGAGCTACCCAGGTCCAGTGGCGGCCTAAGGGGGGGCGGTCTGTCCCGGGCCTAATATAATAGATTTGAATAGTCTGATGTGACTGTATTTATAATTGGAAATATGTGAAACCTAAGGGTATTTTTTTCTTCAGGTATAAAAGGAGATGTGTTGACCGATTTTCAAAATTATTTTTTTATTCGACAGCTAAATTAAATTATAATGGGACCTCGAGCTACTCCGCGCTTCGGAAGGCACGTTAAGTCGTTGGTCCCTGCTGCATTTGCAGTCGTTAATAACCTCCAATCCGCATTGGACCAGCATGGAGGATCATGGCCCATCCGCCTCAACCAACCATAAGAAAGGACTAGGGCCTTGTTTGTTGAGCTATCAATCTTTAATCTGTCAGTTGATGATAATATAAATAATACAAACATATTTTTTTAACACTTTGTTGATTACTAATTAAATAGACATTATAAATAGTAAACATATAAATCATGCAGTTATCCCCTTTCACAAATTATATCAACAATACTAGGTTCCATTAGTTGCGGATCTACACATCTCAATTGAGCTGAAGATAAAGCATCCTCGAGCAAAGCATTAAGAAGCCTCTCATCATTGCCCATACATGACAATCTCTGTTGAAGAAAATGTACATCAACTTGCAATTGCTGCAAGCCATGCCTGCCGAAAGTTCGTAATCTTACACACTCTACTAATGCTTTCAATGCAACTTTTAATGCGCCGTTAGATAAAGCAGCTCTGTCTGCACCTGCCGGACTGAACACCTCTATTCTTTCTGAAAATATTCTGTTGATTGGTGAGAAAGATGATGGTGCACGAGACCATATTGTTCTCCGACTGGAATCACTTGATGGCTTTATACTTGTAGGAAATAGTTGTGAAGCAGCACTATCAGCACTGGCTAATGTTTCCACCACTCTTCGGCATACAGCACGAGGGCCTCGTGGTTCCGGAGCACGCAACCAGTCTCTTGCAAGGACAGAAACTCTTAACATTTGAGCTGCTGTTTGGCCAATGAATACTACTTCCGAATCCAAAGCAGACTGGGCTGCAGTAGACAAATGCACCATTACACTATTAGTATCTTTACTTTCCACAACGAGACCTGGAGCTGACTCTTCTAACAGTTTTATCAAATGTGTATGTAATGTTGTAACACCAGTCTCTTGCATTTCTAAGCATAATTTTGCTAAAATCAACAATAGTTCAAAAGGAATGTTATTATTTGATGATTGCAAGCAAGCCATTTTTTTTACCATATCTGATAAATTGATCATAGTCTCAGAGATTACTTTCCAACAAGAATCAGCTACTGCTTTAGCACACCAAGGTTTTAGTCCAAATGACAAGTTATTCTGTAAAAATGCCATTAAGTCTAGTAGTGATGCTTGTACCTTTTGCATTAAATAAACTTGCAAAGAGTTTAATATATCTTTTAAATCACTACTTTCAGATCCTTTGCTAGCAAATGATTGTCTTACTTTCATCAAACTCTCTTTAAATTGAGTTTGTATAGTCTGGTACTGTATAGTAGCCTTGTTACTTATACATTGGATGACAACTTCAACAGCCTTATTAGATATGGTGTCACTCGAGACAATGTCAGTCATTGCTTGTAGTTTTCTAAAGAACTTATCCAAACCTCTTATCAAGATTTCTGTGCCTACATTTTCAGGTCTCTTAGAAACCTCCTTGAAAAGATGAAAAACTTGAAATAATACTTTGTCTGCAAATTCAGGAACATTTCTTGAATCTTCATCTTGGAACATTTCATGATAGCATGAAACAATAATCCCTAAATCAGCTAACAGAGTGTTGTTGCACTTTTCTACCCATTCTATAATATCAGTGTTTTCAATTATAGATTTCAAAGCCTGTAAATGCTGATCAAGTCTGTTTTCAGCACAATTTAAAAATATATCTCTTAGTGAAGAATCTGTTTCTTGAAGTTGCCTCAACAAACCCACACTTTCTGCTAATTCTGATGCTGAAGTTTCTGGATTTAGTAACCTTTCTCTTAGAGTTTTCTTTAAACCATAAATAATTTCTAAACACTCAGTCTGTATACTCTGAAATGAAGGCTGGTTCCCATATTTCTGTAAAACTCTTTGAGCATGTGTGTAATCATGAACAGCATCAACATACCTGCCTTCTAAAATTGCATTGTTAAGCTGTGATGGTAATAAAAACAGGAACTGTAATTTGTCTAAAAGCTGACGTGTGTTACACAGGCGACTCACATTACTTCCGCTTTCTTTTAATGACTCTGATATTTGGGCACTGAATGACGTTATTTTATTCATATTATCACTGAGTTTGTTCATTTCTTCTTGCATAATTTTAAAGTCAGAACGCATTTTCCGTACTGTTTCTGTAGCTGAAATAAATTTATTGTAGTTTTCGTACACTAACGTTTGCATCTCAGATTGAAGAAATTGGCTTTGTGTCACTATTTCAGCTTCTTTATCCATCACCTGTTTTAACGTAGCATGTTTCATGATGCATTCTAAATACGTATCAGCATTGAAATTATTTCCATCTATGTTTAGAGGGTTATCACCGTTGTCATTTTGTTCTGCCATTTTTTTTTTACACCAAATCAAACTTTTTAATCATAGGAAACAAAAAAGTGCGATGTATCATGAATTGATAATTAGATTTATGCTTCGTATTCTAGTGAAATAAATATCCAAATCCTGCCTGCCTAGCTCTTCGATGACAAATTGACAACAACAAACGAAATCTGACATTAATATTTTTATTTAGCCTTTATTCTGAGATTTAGCCCATACAGCCTTCTCCTCCACATTAAGTATAGATTTACTTAATCGGGTACAGTATCAGAAATGCCTATTATGGGAGGGAACTAAAGAAATAATCAAATGTCGAAGCATTATTTAATAAATGTCGCTGCGGTACATTCTGGATATTTCCATGACAACCCTTCTGGTTTTCTTTTTTGTATAAAAGTAAATTAATTTTCAAAACTGAATAAACAACTCATATTCTATTTGTACTTTTTCGTATTTGTATTGATATCTAAGTCTCGAACTTTTGCTAGGGTCGCCATCTAGTGGAGGACCTTTTTAATGCTTTCGTTTTTTTTAATACTTCCTCATTACGTTGCGTGCTTGTGAATATACTTGACATTGTATTTTTATGATATGTACTATGTAGTTTGTGTGGATTAGTGAATAGTTAAGACTTGAATGTAATTTTTAGATGAAGTATTATATTTATGTATGTGTGTATTTTTTATTGGTAGCGTAGTTAGATATAGTTCTGTAGTGTAGGTAGTACATATTGTTTGGTATATTTTTTTTCTCGAGTATGGATGTACTTTTTATCTTACTTTCTTTCTTGTTCAAATGAATTCAAACGGTTTAACAATTCTTCATATTTACGAGACATACATTCTTGCGATTATTGTGTCGTTCATTTGGGATTTCATGTCTCTCATAAATTCCATAATAGTCGAGTTTAGAATCTTGCGCGGCTATCATGCCTCACTCGGTTCTGAGCCAAAGTGCGTCAATTTGCCTTCGGATTTGTTTTTGATAAAGTTCTTTGTGTTTGATGTTTGACACAGTTTGTGGTGTTCGTACGATCTGTGTTTATTCATAATGTTCACAAACTACGCGTACGATACATACAAAATACAGTCAACAGTTCATCAGGTTATACATATCTGTCAAATTCCTCCACTTTATTTCAAAACTTAATGCTTCAATGGTAGTCCAAAATCATGTGGACGATTTAGAAATATTGTGGTAACCTGAAGTAGTCATGTCATGTAAACGGATAGTGGTATCGAATTAAACTTCTTTAAATAACAAGCAAAATATTTATTTCCTTTTCATGATTTCTAACAGCACGTATTGACAATTATATAGTTATATTTATTATTTACACCACCCACATTCTAATTTCATTATTATAAAAAATCGTAACTTATTACCAAGGTACGGAATTTCGGAGATCAATTACCTAGTTTGGTACGTTTGTGTTGCAGAACGACTGAGAAGAATCGTAGACTATGTATATGTCGCAGCAAACTTGTTAGATCAGCTGTTCAATTGGGCGGCTACCCATTTAATTGAATCGCGCCTTTTAATTGCATGCTTAGTTTTTTAGTTGTATCATTATGACATTTGGACCGTTTAACAAAAAATAACCGTTGAATTATTTTTTTCTTTAAATTACTTACCTATCACGTGACTTACTGGACCAAAATAAGGTTTATGATTTTTTGTTGTTATTAACTGTAACACTAAACTTTAAAAGCGTAATAAACATTCTACAAAAATCGCAGTCAAATACATTATTTTGAATTTATTATAAAAGTTTAAGCTTAACCCAACTTGTATTAATCGTGTGAACGTTAACATCCTGTATTGGATTATACGGGCCATTAACACCCAGTCGCGAATAAGCAGTTTGTTATTTTTTGGTCGTATCTGTATCGATTACAGATCGTAACCAGGAGTTTTTGATTTTAAAATCATCCTCTAGTACTCATCTACACTAAAAAAATCCAACCAATAAATTTCAATATTCCCGTTAAATTGACAGTTAATGAGTTGGATGACCTTCTTTCAGCCGTATTATAGAACGTTGCGTTCACCATTTTATTGCGCCATTAAGTTAAGGGGCTAGACGCCCAATTGGACGGGTGGTCTAACCACTTGTCTGCGACACGACAACAGAAGTTGATACGGATTCTATTACTAGCATCTTAAAACAAAATTTTGAAAAACAACTGCAACCACTCTCAAAAATATTTTACGTTTCGTGTACGTTTGCTTAGATTAGATAAAATTAAAGATATAATGTTAAGGAGATGTATGACACACAGTAATTGGTATTTAAACGTTTTTCTTTTTCATTGGGTAACATAATCAATGGGAAATTTTTCATTAATATACAGTGAATAACTTCGTCAATCCCGAAATATATACATTATCTTACTTAATTTAAAAACAAATCGCATAAAGGAACACGCTTTAACTTTTCTTTTAAGCGTATAAAAAATTAACAGTGTGGCTTACATGTAATTTACCCCAGTACCTAACACAAAAATACAGCAGTTCTATCGACGTTCTGTCATGTAGAAACTAATGGGTTCTAAATACAGATCTATTATAGACCTTGTCATATTACGCGTAATGTTTATGTAGTGTACTGTCAAAAGTTACTTTGAACCCGTTACGAGTGCATTACATTCGTTCTGTCACAAGGCCCCGATCAGTTCCCTTCTCTCTCTCTCTCTGACCGGTAGCAAAGCTGTCAAATTTTGAACTTTAATCATCTTAAAAGGTATTTTGCACACTACACAATGAAATGACAGGAATGTGCACGAAAAAAAAACTTGTGCACATGGCCACACGTCAGTTACTTTATTATGTCAATCTTCTGCAATCGATTATGAACTTTACACTTAATTTATCTTTAGGTTTAAAATCAAGTGGAGAACAGATTCTTACTTTTGTTCCGTCAGACCAATACCATAGTCACGTACTTAAAGGAAACTAATCTCATTTTTCACTAAGCTGATCGTCAAATCTAATACCTAAATTTTAGGAATTACCTAAGGCAATTTAAGGTTCGGGCAACATAATGACATTCAGAAAGTAATGCTGAAAATTGTGATAAATATGTTGCTCGATTGAAAAATACAGTTTGTTAGAAACTGTATTAAAAAAACGCTAAGCACTACACGCTATAGGATTCACGTTATTTTATTTATACATATTAATAAATTTAATATTAACTAAACGGATAATATCTATCTTAAATTTAAAAAAAATATATCGAAATTACGCTTAAACCAACATTGCACTATATTTTTTCACGGAATTTCACTTAAAATATAAATTATAATTCTCTTAGAGAACAAAAATGCACTAAAGTATTCTATACCAGTTATATATAACTAATTAAACTAATTAAAAAAAAATATCGATGTTCACAGCACAAATCTATCATAGCAATTATATTACAACCCATGTTGGGTAATTTATAATAACATTTATTTTCGCTAATTTCATCACAAATATCTTTACCCTTTGGGATTTATTTTAGTAAAAAAGTTCATATTTACATTATACAGGAAATATTTGTAGTCCGCGCACAAAATATAATGTTGTGTTATGGTCCATCATTATGATGTTTCTTATTTTTGAAATAAAAGTTATATACCAACAGTATGTTACTATTGAAAAAAACATGAAAATACTTTTAATAAATATTATTAATAAAAATGAAATCATCAATAAATAAATATTAAATTTGAAACTTTTCTTTCTAAATAATGTTCTATTAACGATACTAAGCCATAGGAAAAATATAATGAACTGATAACAAATATATCCTGTATTTTCACAATTTTTCAGGTAATAATAATAAAATTGGCAAAAAAAAATTATAAAATATAACAAAGTTTATATATAGTTTTAGACTTTTGATTTGATAGTCATGCCTCTTACGCCTGTTTACTCAAGGAATTGATAATAAAATAAAAAGACCTTATTGATTAGTAAGGTAACAAATGCTGGGATAGAATTAACAAGATAGGCAGTGCACATACACTTTATGTCAAATGACGTCTTAATGGTAATAACTATAAAGCATAATTTTGCGTTTTAGTCATTCTGTCCTGAGCTTTAATGGGTCTAAGAAGGGCAAGTCACCAGTGGTGTCACATTCTGTTTGATGAAACACTTTAAGGGGCACTTCTCTTACTCTCGGGGTCAGTTTGTGAGGGGTTTTGTTTGGGCTATTTTTGGGCAAGGTTGTAACGGGAACGAGTTGTCTCCGACCAACTTTTTCAGTGTTTTGACCTTCAGCTGCCTCAAGGGCCGTCTCAACGTCAATTAAGGCATGATTGCGACATTGAAGGAGAGCCGCTAACTGAAACAATAATATAAAATTTTAAAGGTATTCCAACTTCACGCTACTATTTAACATGTAATGTCTACATGTAAGTCTGTCACGTCAAATGAAACATAAATAAAAGGGCGTTACGTTATTTATGAAAACCGCGGGAAACATTATAATAATAATAATAATATAATTTATTTCTTTTCACACAAAGTTGTACAGTATGTTTTTATAAACTATGATTAGGACTATACATTCACCCAAGTGTGAAAAGCTGGTGCTTGCTTGCTATAGGTAACATACAAAGTGCAAAATAATCTTAACGATTTTTTTTACTGGGTGGGGGCTAGCTACGTCACAATTTTGTAGAAAATATTTAAAAGCGTGACATCATGTTACATTTTAACTCAATGTTTCGTTGTAGTTAATTGATAACGCAAATAAAAAAAAAAAGAGTTAAATATTTTTCAACAACCCACCTGACGGACAAACACAAAAAATGTAGCTATCACCCCTATTGTGACCGCGACATTTTTACCTGCAATATCTGGCTGAGGGGATGTACCGCGGCGGGCGGGGGGCGGGGTAGGGCGGCGGCGAGGCGGGCCGCTGCGGGGGGGAGCCGAGCGCGCAGCAACGCGAGCGCGGCGAGCTCACGGGCCACGTCCCCCCCCTCGGCCACGCCCTCCGACCCTGAGTCCAACTCTGGCTGAGCATCTACCCCCTCTTGCTCCAACCACCCGCTAGACACGCTGCTTGACGGAGACCTGGTACCGGAATGGTGAATATTACGCAAAAATACGAAGAACTAGTACATGTAAAATAAGATAATGTATATAGCTTAAAACACATAGCTTAAGAAACTGAAACAAATCTAATAAGTTAAGGAACATACCATATGTGCTAATAAAAATAGCTATGTATTTTATTAAAGATATAGAAATAAATGCAGTATTTTACAAACAGTTGAAAATATTTAACAGAACGATGTCACTATAATTTAAAGGAATACTTGGATTGTAAATATATTGAAATGTAATCGACGGATTGTTTTCATTTATAATTTTGTATTACATTATTTTGATGTTCCAAACAATTTAGTTTGGCAATATTTAGTGTTAATTTAATGTAACAATGAGTCAATCGTAATGTTAATGCATAAATAATTGTAATGTATTAATTATAATTTTGAGAAGCAATGTATGTTGCAATGTCCTTGCAGGACCCATGTTGAGGATAATTTATGTGTAAGAACATATGTACCAACATGGCGCAATAAATATTATGACTATGATTAAGAGTTTATTTGCCAGACGTTAGATAAATAGATAATCAATTTATTTGCATCACAAAATGAGCACACAAACATAATTATAAAGCCACACGAAACCGTAATGACAAGGACGCAATTATATCATCGACCTAATAATAGAGAGAGATAAAGCATATGCGAAACATTGCCATACAACTGACAAAATTTCGCAAATGTTTCGCATTAGAATGCGCTTGCGTCGATGTACTAACGGCGTAATGGCTCTATTAGAGAAGAGATTGTGACGTGGTTTGGCGAAGTCGCCGAACAGGATGAATTGGGTACATTGGCCTTTGTGCCTAGTGATAGACATCTTAAACATTTTAGTTTCGCTTTACTATGACAAAAATTGATAGATGCACCTGCGCGAGCGCAATAGCAACATGTTATATGTAGTGGCGGGTCATTGTCCGAAATTAATGAGGAAGTATTAAAAAAAAGAAAGCACTAAAAAAGCACCTCCACTAGACAGCGACTCTAGCAAAAGTTGATTTTTGCAGGAAACGAATGGACCAAAGACAGTCATTTCCGTTCCTATTAACTAACATATAGTTCAAAACTTAGATATCAATATAAATAGAATATGAGTTGTTTATTGAGTTTTGAAAACTAATTTACTTTTAAACATGAAAGAAAACCGGAAAGGTTGTCATGGAGAAATCGAGAACGTATCGTGGCGACATCTAGTTAGATTTTGGGAACTATATTTTTTTTTAATTCTTCCTCATTCGGCTATCGCGCTATGGATACTGACATGGGTTGACGATCGTCGCGCGGGTAGTGCCGCGGTGGCGGGTGCGGGGGGCGGGGGTGTTGCAGGGGGGCGCGCAGGTGTCGCGCGAGGGCGCACACGTGGGCCGCACTGATGGGCATTGGACGCATCAACGCTGACAAAACCGCACCCGGCTCCGCATCTAATACTGTACACACCGAGTTTTACGTTCAAATATATTATATAATAAATATTAATAATGAGTAGCTCGGTGGCGTAGTCGATAAGCGCCGCGGCCCGCGATCGTTGTCGCTAAGTAACTTTCGCAACGGTCGGTCACGGGATGGGTGACCAAAAAAATTATTATCTCGAGCTACTCCGTACTTTGGAAGGCACGTTAAGCCGTTGGTCCCGGCTGCATTTGCAGTCGTTAATACCCTCCAATCCGCATTGGGCCAGCGTGGTGGGTCATGGCCCGTCCTCCTTAACCATCCATAAGGAAGGCCTGAGCCCCTGCAGTGGGGACGTAAAAGGGCTGGTGATGAGGATGATGAATAAATATTAAACAATATCACATACATTGCTCAGATTCGAAGATGCGTAGCTTAAGTTCCCGTATTATGGAGTATCTGAGACAATGAAGGTACCACAACAACCAGACTCTAGACAATATAGAAAAGTTCATTTTCTACTTTCAACCCGGGACCTTGGGCTACGGAGGTCGTATATGAATAGGGTGAGTGGTCCAACAGTTAACCACCTAATTTCCTGATCATCATAGTGCGTAATTGGTAATTATACATATATAATTATCTGCAAGGTATAAAGAAGTGGTTTATTGGTTATATATCTGCATTTAATAAATGGTGAATTTACTTCATATTTTTGGGTATGTGAGTTTTTTTTAATGGGGATTGGCTAACTGTGTCCACACTATCGTACACAATTAACCACAGGATGTGCTACAGTTAACCAAGGTGTACACATTTAACCATTATATATTTCTTAATTTTTATTAAATAAAAAACAGTATGAGTGGAAGAAAATGAGTCTTTTATTGTTTAGCATATTTAACAGTTGACTTAACATTAATTATTAGGTAAATAATTAACATTTTTTTAGTTTAGGTGAATTCTTAAAATAATTATCAATTATTCATATATTCATCACAAACTTAAGAAGTATAATAACAAGGAATAAATGAATATTTTAACCTTTTAACTCAAGTTTCACATAATTAGTTATTCGCAAGTTATTCAACATTAAATAATCTCAGTCTCAACAATGTTATTTTAAAACAAAAACTTAAGTATAAAAACAAGAAATAAACAAATATCTGAAGTTTTAACGTAACCTACGTTGTCACAGCATTAGTTTTTCTCAGTCTCATAATATTATTCGAGAACTATATATATTATAGATATAGCTTTGATAAAATAAATAAAATAGTTTATTTCCTTAAATTGCATACATATAACAGTAATGTGGCCAGAATCACCCAGGAAGTGCCTAAAAAGCGCTTGTGTCGGGTGGTTCTGCTCCTCCTTAGGAACTTAATAACAAAATAAGGTTTCCTTAGGTTGCTAGACTATTAAACTATTTTATAAAGGTATATTAGAAAATACTAAAAGTGAGAAGTTATATAAAACAATGCAGTGTCTAAAAAATCTCTCAATCTATACCAATATAGCTATCTAAGTATATGTGTGTGTGTGTGTGTGTGCGTGCGTGCGTGCGTGCGTGCGTGCGTGCGTGCGTGCGTGCGTGCGTGCGTGCGTGCGTGCGTGCGTGCGTGCGTGCGTGCGTGCGTGCGTGCGTGCGTGTGTGTGTGTGTGTGTGCTATTACAAACGTCCGGAGCTGTTTTAAATTTTTGTACGTTTTTGCTGTAAATGCGTATTGCGATACATATGTTTAATGCTATCCAGCCCTACGATGCGAGTCAAATCAAAATGAACGTCTAACGAATAAGACGCTTGTTATCGGCTGCTGCTGCAGTAATTTTAGGATTTGGTAATATATATTTAATATCTTTTGCCTGTACCCCTGCTGTATCAGGTTCCAGGAGCTCACAAAATGTTTGACATGCTCTACTTTTTAGTCTATAGGAACTCACAAAAAAGTCAGAATCGTCTTCATCATATATTATAGTTTCTAAAATTTTCGCAACGTAATAGACGGAGCTTTTCTAATAATAATACAATGACATATTCTTGCTCTTTTAGATTTCGTAGTAAAGGTAAAAAATTACCGTCCAGTATGTCTTCGTCATCCTCATCTATATTTTCACTAATATATTCTTCACCAGACGACGATTCATCTGAACTGTCGTTGCTTTCTATAATATCTTTTTTTCTTTCCTTAATGGCTTTTTTATTCTTTTTCTTTGTCTTATTTTGGGATTTAACATCTGTGAACAGATCTTGCTTTGCTTTTTCAATTTCTTTTTATTTATTTTTATTTTCTTTGCGGCAATAGCATCTTTTTCAGGCGTATCCGTAGCGATCATGCTTTTCCTAGAAGTTGTTTCGTTTTTTTTGATCGCATACATTCCTGGGGCGAAATGAACTTTGACGGACCGGCAGCTTCTATTATACGAGGCGTGATATCTTGGTTTCCAACTTCTTTAAGCACTCGTAATAGAGGTGGCGAGTGAAAAACTTCTATTACTGGAGGTGTGATATCGCTATCAGGGTTTATCGACAAATTTTGTTGCAGAGTAACATTCTCACGCACGGGTAATGGATCTTGTGACACGGGAGCTTTAATTTATTGGTAGTGTGGTGTTGTCATCTTGGTTTTTTTGCAAGTTAACTTGCAGATCGACATCTTCATGAGCTAGTAATAAAACTTGAAAATCGGACACTTCAATCATTGGTGGCATGATATCGTTATCTCGATTTGTAGAACCAAAGTTCTCAAGGATAGAAAGAGATTTTGAAGATTTTTCTTGTTGCTCATCAATTTTTTGTACGACCTGTGGCCTATCTGTTACGGTACTAGGCATAAAATCAACTTCCGTAAAAATGCAGTTATCGAAAGGGAATATTCCAATTTTCTTGAACGCGTTTACTGTTTATCGGAGTCATAGGTTTCATGTATGCACATCCAACACACTCAGCAACATTGTATAGAGTTAGAGGTTACCCCGGGATGTCTCAATAGCCACGAATCTACAACCGAAGTATAATACGACTTCAATGGGCCTTCTAATCCAACATCCAGAGTTTGAAGTTTTGCAGTAGTATTCTATTTTGAAAATGGAAATTGAGAGTTGCAAATTTACATCGAAAGAGCCGCAGGTTGCCGACCCCTGCTCTACGCCATTAAAAATACGCAAGTTGCATCAAGACAGAAGATTACATCACTACATAATATAAAACAAAGTCGCTTTCTCTGTACCTATGTATGCTTAAATCTTTACTACGCAACGGATTTTGATGCGGTTTTTTTTAATAGATGGGGTGATTCAAAAGGAATGTATGAAACAAGACCACGCGAGCGAAGCCGCTGGCGGAAAGCTAGTAATTTACAAAATATCGAATGTCGATTTTAAAAGGCTGTGCTAGCTTAGTAAAACACAAGTTTTACTGAAATTATCGACGTATTCAAGCAAATTACGTTGACAAAACAATGGAATGGGAGATCAAGTGGCAGTTTGTTATTTAAGCTTTCTTTAGACTGGTTATGACTTATGTACTAATACAATTTTATGGTAATAAAAAATTTTACTCACATATATTCCTTAACGAGATGAGCATAGCAACTATGATAAAATGTATATGAGGCAACGAGGGTCCGTCGGCAAATATGAACCCCCATAAGTGCGGGATTTCACCCCGCGTGAACTCGCGTCCAAATAATAGTCGCAGCCACCGACTAAGGTAAGAACATAACATTTTTTTAAATAAATTATAAAAGGAAAATGATAAAGTACGTATTTATTTGATTAAAAAGAAATCGGTATAAACATTTGGCAGTTGGTATTTCAGAAGTGCGACCGCCTAACTCTCTAGCCTTAATATGTGACATTTAAGCTATGTTATAGCGAAATTTCGTTTCATTTTACTACTTCGACATGTTTTTTGGTGTAATTTAGAGTAAATTACTAAGTTAGTAACACGTTTCTCAAATGCATAATCACCATTTTTTTATAATTCGTTCGTCGTTATTAAAAAAAGCACATGTCAAAGTAGTGAAACGAAATATCGCCATAACATCGTTAAGATGTCGTATCCTATAGCTAAAGTTGTGGCTAGAGAGTTAGGCAGTCGCACCGCGCGTCACATAATGTGCAAATTAATAAAAACAAATAAAAAATACCGAAAATGATACCATACAAACAAAGACACTCACATTCCGAACAACTCCATTGTAATGTTGCAGGATGCTAAATGTGATGCGACCTCGTGGTCTAATGGCACTAAAAACTCTTCTTTCACTTGGTCTAAATATCTAATTACCTCATTTGGATTCTGAAACAAATACCTATGTGAAACAAAAAAAAAACACACTATATAAAAATCAGCTAAATAGTTAGGTCTCTGATTTCACTAAACTTAGAAGTCGCCCAAATCTGACATCTTAATATTTGTGCATTTCTAAGGTGAAAATGCGTTCCACTAATGTTAAGGTGCCATTTAACGACATTAACCAACTCTTAAAGTTAGGACATGCCTTGTGTGGTACGTGGCGCTAGGCATTTGCGTAATGTGACAGATACATTTACTCTTTGACCGAAACTTTGGACAAAATGACAACTTAGGTGCTCGCCTAAATACAAGACCACGATATTTTTTCTTGTTTTATTAGCTCAAGATATTTATATTCGTTATTGTCTCTTGACGTGTAAAGGCGATTAACGTGACATTGGCGGAATTGTGTAAACGCAAATAGGCCTTACATAAAAAAAGAATAACCGAAACATGCAAAATCATAGACAAACGTTATATTGTTACAAGTTTGCCAAAGCGACAAATCTGCTTATGCTATTCTTAATATTAAGTGATTTCTAGTTAAGCTAGTTCTTGTTCTAGGTTAGTGAAAACGGGCATAACTCGCACAAAAAAGGTTCCCAAGTCACCGACATAATGTATCAGTATCCTATATAGCGAGGACGCCTTGTGAGAGTAAACTATTTCTTGTTATGATAGCAGCCATTGTGATATAGGGTAAGGATGCCGAATATGAGATACCATTTTTATTTTTGGATATAAAACATAAATTATTAACATTATGAAATAAACATTTTGATATAAACATTATGAAAATTGCAATATTTGATAGGGTATTTAATGAAGTTTATTTATGAGAGACCGTTTTGTTCTGAGTATAATAGATTTTTTATTATATCAAAAAATATTAAGAAGTTCAGAAATTACGTCTCAGGCAAATGGTCTCCTATTATGAGATACTGAGGGTTGCTAATATGAGACAGTATCTCATATTAGTTCTTTAGGGTTTGAGTATAGATTTGGAGAAAAAGGAAAGAAATTAATTTGAATTTACAACATCTAACTCCTAAATAAATAGGTCTGAGTACGACTTAATATATGTATGTAACGTACATAGTTATAATTTATATTAAACTTATCATAATCAGTGATTTTCAAATGGCACTTATTAAACAGTATCAAAAACAAAAGTATTATGCTAAATCTTAGATATGATTTATGTCAGACTCATCATAATCACAGAGATTTTCAAATCATACTTATTAAACAATATTAGTAATCAACAAAAGTCAAAACTTTTATTCTAAATCTTAGATATTTAAACACAAACACAAAAATCGATCTGTGGTTACTTCTCCATGATCCATGGTCTCAGGATTTCCTTTTGATCGGCCCCATCTAGTAAAAAGGATTTTTCAAATAGTCATATTTTTATATATCCTAATACGAGATATCTCATTTTAGGAGCACTCGCATGTCTCATATTAGGAAAACATCTACATTCAACAAAATGGCTGCACATTATTTCTCAGTAAAGAAAATGTAATAAAACTACATATGTATCATAAAATTCATGATATAATTGATAGAATGACGGTAAATTAAAATCATTCAGTGTAATTAATACAGCTGTAGTATACCTTGTAAATATTTGATGAGAAAATTTGGTTTTGGGGTTTCGTGAAAACCCACATGTACACAACCTAACTTCGCCTTGGACTGGGAAGCACTAACACACGTTTTGATCTTTTGCCACGTGGCTTCTAGCGACAGTAGCACCAAATGGCTGCGGCGATTAGTTTCGCCAAAACCTAACTATCTCATATTTGGCGACTATCTCATATTCGGCATCCTTACCCTACATATTCTACAATTTCTTTATCTAGGCATCAATTTACTCTAGGTAACGCATTTAGGCTCTAAACAGGCATGTGATTGACAAACAAACAGTGGAAGCACGTTAATAGGATTCCATTGGTACCTTTTGGGTACAGAAACCTCCGTAGCCGAGTGTTTCGCACGCTGGTTTCAAGGTGTCGCCATCTTTGAGGTCCCGGGTTCGATTCCCGGTCGGGTCGATGTAGAAAATGAACTTTTTTATATTGTCTCGGATCTGGGTGTTGTGGTACCTTTGTTGTCTCAGATACTCCATAATACGGGGGCTTTAGCTACACATCTTGGAATCTGAGCAATGTATATGATGTTGTTATATATTTATTATTTATCATTTTATGCTTAAACACTACAGATAAGAAAACCTATACACTTTATTTGGAAATATAGAAGCCTTAAGGGGGGGGACAGGGTGATTGTAAAAATGTCGACGACAAACCAAGCTATGGCCGCTGATGAAACTAACCCATGTGAAATTGTATATATGTTAAGTTTTTGGAAAAATTTTATAAGCGTAATGCAGGCTATATACAAGTGTAATGCATCTCAGCGGCATCTCATAACAGGGTGTAGGAACTTATCATTTTCATCTTACCGTAGCATATCATGGCGGTGAGATATAAGTCGCTGATTCAGGAATCATCACAGAGGAATACTGAATTGCAACTCAAACATGCTCGTATAATTTGTATCTATATTATACGTACATGCACCGTTTTAGAAGTGGGCAATCTACCACTGGGCGTTGGCACTATTTCGCCGGTTGTGTAAAATCTTTCAAGTCCTCTCATCACTGCATTAAAAAGCATGCTGGAAGGAAATAGCAAACGTTATAGTTATTATTTAAAATTAAGTTTCAGCGCTAAGTTATTAAATCGAAAATTGCTTACTAGCTGTCATGTTCAAGGTAGTCGTCGTCCAGGACATATTTCAATATTTGACTGCAACATAAGAGTTAGTTTAGTAAGAGTATTACCACAGCCTATGTATTTCTCACAATCAGCAGATAGGCACGACTAGACAGATAAAACGCAAGGGGTAAGATGCGGGGTATACACTCGCAATTTTTCATAACTCTGCCGCCATGACAAATGTCTAGACAAAAGCGGCACTTAGCAAAACAAAGCGTTGGTTGGCTTTCTTAAATTTTTACATTATGGTATTACTGTCGACTGCATTGTAATCACAAAAGATTTGTAAAATGATAAAAAATGTTTGGGATAACTTTGAAACATCAGACCTTCAAGTCATACGGTCATATCCATATTAACATAAACGTTTGAGATAATCGTCCTAATATAGCTATATCGGGTCGATGTATTAATTACGTGTACTGTTTATTAACCGTTTTAAATGAAGCCGTATCCTACTGACCTGAGTTCCTTTGGTGCGAACCTTCTGTCTTGAAACAATTCAAATAGTATGGGCGCCACGATCTCATGCATACCCTGTCTATATCCGACGTGAGAATGTGAACGTGCCCAGAAGAATAACACCCGAACCTAATGGACAATAAAAAAATGTGATGTTCCTTGTACATACATACTAAGCATACATATTTAAAAAAATGTAATGTTCCTTGTATATACTGCAGTGTCCCAGAGCCTATTATCTAATTTGAAAAATAGCAATAATTTTCAATTTGACATTTGAAAGATATTCACGAACTTCACGCTACAAGTATTTGACATGTGATAGCGATTGTGACGTCACGACGGTATTTTTTAAAGATATTAAATGAACGACATCCTCAATTTAAGGCAATCGTTAAACTCAAATATCTTTGAAAGCTTTTAAGAGATGTCAAACGAAACAGTTGAATGCCAACTGCAATCTTTCAACGGTGTAGCCAAGTTTTTATTATGTTTTTTGATCGATCATTCAAATTATAATTCGTTACAAATGCAATTGTCGCAATTTAATCATAACATAAGTCGTTTACATTCGCTATACCTTTACAAAGGATTGTGATAGATTTTGAATTAGATAATAAGCCCACCGTCCTTAACATTCAGACAGTCGAACTGACGCCGTGAAGCACTGTGTAATATTACATGAACCATATAGCTTACTCCTGTATTAATTAAAAATAAGTCTGCTTTATATACCTCGTGTGTTCATAAGTTTTGAGACAACTTTTTACTGAAGAAATAAAATAAAATGTTACTGGCTGTTTTTTGAACACACGATTTTTATTAACAGTATAATGAAAAAAATTAAGACTTACTATTTTGGACATATGGTATAATACTGAACTTACCATTGTATCCTGAACGTCTTTGTCTCGAAAATAAAGTTCGTCTGGGAATGTTCTGACAACGTCTTGTGTGATCACCGCCTTAAGTTCATTATCACAAAAATGTTGCTTCCAAACACTCTATAAATATAAACACAATTATAACTCTTTAGACATTTTATACGTTTTACGAAGATTTATAAGTACAGTAAGTTTTAAACTTGATGAACCTTCGTTTGACTGGAGATCTACAAATACTGACGACGACCGAATATACGACCAATATTTATAATGAATCTTGTTTCAAAAACCGTAAGGTGTAAAAAACAACACAAGCTTCTCACTCGCACACAACAGGGATCAGACGCATGAATATTGGTGGACTACCAGCCTTGTGATTCTGTAAAAATACAGACCCGAATTCGAATTCACTCATGTGTCCGAATTTACATCATATAGTGTAGAAACTTTATTGGTTCCATTTTTTGTATAAATACACAAAACAAAATTGATTGAATATACGTATCTCAGATATTCTATTTCTATGTCATTTCGAAACTCACTTCACTTATGCCACGAAACGTTATTTATTACCAATTCAAGGTTGAGCGGATGCCGCTTTTTGAAGTGAATAGGGATGACGACTGGGTAAAAAAAATGCAATTCTATTTAGTCCGTCAGTCAGATAATAGAAAAATATTAGAAACGTATTTTTTTTACTTCAGTTTAACAAGAAATGGCTTAGATAACATCCATTAAAGTTGAGAAGTGGGGGCTCGTTACGTCACAGTTTAGTAGAAAACGTACCATAACGTGACGTCATGCGAAATTACAACTCCATGTAACGCCGTAATTTTATGATTACGAAAAAAATAAAAAAATACGTGTTTAATATTTTTTAACACTACCTGACGGACAGATAAACAAAAATTAGTCGTCATCCCTATTCGGACATCTGAGTGAATTCTAATTTGGGTTTGGATTTTTACAGAATCACATGGCTGGTAACGCGATACTCGGACTATTCTGATTGGCCGGCATTTGTCGCGATTCGAAATATAGCTTTCTGCGCAGGCATATCGGTGAGGCACATTACTTGTATGTTACTGTAAGTATTGAGTTTTTTTATGTTTCACTGATCTTGATAAAATTTAATACGCAAGTAGTTCTTCCCTTAATGCATATGAAAACTTTTATTTCATTAAAATTGAGAAAACCAAATGAAATAAATTGCGGGCAGAAAAAGGAGAGAAATGGAAACCCGGATAAGAAATGGAAAATTAAAGATTTAGAGAAGTTGTTTTTTGAATATTAAGATGATTTGATATGGATATTATATAAAATTGAAAATTTTATTTGTAAATACTTTTTGCCCAATAAATGTTTAGACGTGTGTAGGATGAGTAATTGACCTTTCATAAAAAAATAATATTTCATATCAATCACAGATGCAAGTTATAAATATTTAGAGGACTGATTAAAATTATAACTAACCTCATCACTTTGTGAAAGTGGATCATCTCCAATCACAGCTCGGGGGTCCATTGATAGTTTCATTTTAATGTCGTCGTAAAACATTCTGTGACTTCTTAAGCTGTAAGTGTGAATGTTTGATGAATTCTTTAATTAGTTAAAAAATAAAATATACATTAACCAACCACTAATACTTGGAGACAGCGAGACGTGGAGAATTTATTTACGATATTGACCCGGCAAGGAATCGAACCCAAAGATAAGGTACGAGATAACACCGCTATCATGCAAGCACCAATGTCGTCGATTTTATAAAAACTAAAAATTTATATGAAGACATAAAAATATTAAAACCTGGCAACAATGTCTGCTTGTGGTGAAGGTAAAGCTTGCAATAGGATGGCCCACGCTAAGCCGCGTGGACGCGCCAACCGGTGCTCCACCGCAGCTTGCTTCAAACACTCCAGATTCCATTCCGACAAGCTGTTACAAATGAAATTAAATAAAACCCAAATATCAAAGTGGTTTTGAACAAGTACAAAACATTTCTTTTTTAATTAGCTACTTGACTGTTAAGAAAAGTATTTTTAAAAGTATTCATAAGATTTTGGTTTATTCATAAGATCGTATCTATGTACATATTGTCAGATTTATTTTCCAAGTGTCATTTAATAATGGAAAAACATTGGATATTAATTGATTTAAATTACCCTGTGAAAACAATTAGTCACGTGATATTTGAGCTGGTTGGTTGCAGTCACTCTATTTTCACAGTATCCATCTTTCTTGTCTAAGTTGAATAACAAAAACAATTGAAAGTCGATATTAGAGGGGGGAGGGGGAGACCGAATAAAAAAATCGTTGATCCAGGCTTGGTATCCGCATTGATAAATGCGAATGATGAAGAAATGTATATTACATTCGTAGTGTGAAGTAATGTTCGAAAGTGACTTTGATTGAGAAGACTAGCACACTTGCTGCAGCTTTGAACATTTTTTTAAACATTGTGGAGCAGTTTCTAAGTCAACAGTCAACAGCATGTCACTTTATACAAAACTCAAATATTCCCACTTGATTTCAAACTTTAATACATCTAAGTTATAGTTCAAAGTAAGTTGCAGATCTTTTGAGATATGCATTAAGTTTCCTAAAATATAGTTAAGTGAAGGTTATGCTTGTCAATGCGTACTGCTAGTAGGTGATGAGCCAGTTCTAGTATGTTTACTCTTGTCCATTTTTTCTCTTTTATTATGCATATTGTTTATTATTAGAGTGAATAGATTGACGAATGAAACATTTAATTTTTATTTTGTGATAGAAATAGTTTAGTGATGTAATTTTTCATTTCAATATCTAAAGCAACACTTGCAGATATATAACATTTGCCTATATGTTTAAAGTATGCTGTTTCCCTGGTGTCAAGTAAAAAATTTCAATAGATAGAAAAAGAAGCCTTAGCAAAATCTGAGCTAATTGTGCAATGAGTTAAGCCACATTTATTTAACGGTTATTACAATACATACTGCTACTACTAATAAATACCTGTTGCATAATATACCCCCTTTAAACCTCTCCATTTATCTTATTGAAAACTTATAAGTTCCTTTTGAAGGTACAATAATATTATTAGTCATATGTCTAGGGATATAGTAGTAAATAATGCAGTATATAAATAACTGAACATCATTACCATCATCAGCCTTTTTACGTCCTAACTGCTGGAGCTCAGGCCCTCCCTATGGATGGTAAGGGAGGTTGGGCCATGAACTGCCACTCTGGCCCACTGCAGATTGGCGAACATTAATGACTGCAAATGCAGCCAAGTTCAACGGTTTAACATGCCTTCTAAAGCACGGCTTGAGATAATAATTTTTTGGTCACCCATCCAAGTCAAGATCACGAGCAGTGGCGCTTATTCATTATGCCACCGAGCCACTTATTATGATACTAGCTACTCATAAATACACATACATTGCTCATAGACCCATTTAAAAAATATAACCTTTTTTCATAACATAAATATCAATTTAGGATCATAAATTCTAAGTTAATCATATAATTATTAGTTTTACAAACATCAAATATTAATTGCAATTATAAAAATGAGGGTATGTAGAAAATATTTAAAAAAGTATATACACAATTAATTACATGCAATTTTACTATTTGTATTTTGCAATAATTATTAATTATAGAGAAACTAAGATTACAAGAATTATCATCCCCCTTTTAATGTAGCAATTTAAAATTGTTCCTAATATAAACTTATTTCCTAATGAGTTTTAGGTTTATTTACTAGTCTGAAGGTTGAATAAACAAAAAATAGCTCATTATTTCATAAGAAGAAAGCAAATAAACCAAAATGCCAACAATGTCTTTTACAAAATGTTAATAAATTTTTTAATGTTACTCACTCATAATCTCCAATATCCATATTGTTTTGAGAAGGAGAGCTTGAAGAGTCATCACTGTTAGCCTTGTCCTAAAATTTTAAAGGTGTTAAAGCAAGTTTAATTTAAGCTAATTTACTTAAATAGAATACTAACCATTGTTTTAAATTCTTTATTAGAATTTGTTCATCAATACATATACTGTTGTACTAAATCTAAAGTACCCCAAAAACAAACAAAGGCTGTATATTAAGTCATTTTAAATTATCATTTTTTTAATAATACAAGGATTAAAACTTTCATAGTGAAAGGCAGGTAGGTAAAACAAAACTTAAAATTGGAATTTGCCTTTAGAATAAATTCTTTCAATTATTTTTTGTTGAGTCTTCAATTAAAAAGTAACATTATCGGAATATATAAAAAAAAACTTGATAAGATTTGTATTTGAGGAAACAAAACAAGCCTCAAGAAATATCGAATACAGAATCATGTAAAACTATTTTACAGAATCGAGCATGAATCGAGCTAGCAACTGACATTAAATTAGGGTTATCGAGTGTGAATTTGCCGCTAGAGGCGCTAGTGTAGCTGGAGGTCCCCGCCGAAATGTCACTTGTCACTGTTAATAGGTGGGATGTACGGTATTATTCTATTTTTTATTGATGGCAAATAGTTCCGTGTTCTGTGGCAAATAGAGCCGGTGTCGACTATTCTGCCAATGTCGGAAGTAGATATTTTTCTTTTAAGTTAACTTTGGAGTTAATAGTTTAATCTTGGCTACAATGGTAATGACTTACCATGGTGTTGCCAGCAGTATCTAGTCAAATTTAACACAAGATAGCTCCAAATATTAAATTTTTACGATATAAGTACCAATGAATTTCATGAGGAATACGACGCTAATATAACATGGCAACTTATCACATAAAACCTAAATAGTATTTTTAACCAATTAATTATAGTTCGAAAGAATCGTTAGCCTCATTCTGACGTAATTGAATTTACTATAATCATTAATGTAAGTAATATATAAATCCGACCATTCAGAAAAATCTTGGTACATTTAAAACTTACGGAAAAGTCATTCTATATCTCTATGTAAAACTCACTAACTTACGTGACACATATTATTTAAATGTATACATGACACGGCACCAATATAATTGAGGTCACGCACAAGAAAGAAAGCTTTTTGTATGCGGTCCGTTCGATTCATCAACATTAATTGTTCTTGGTGTAAACACAAAGCAACATATTGCATCTCGCTCGTAACGAAATAGAAGGAAATTCAAAATGTTGTAAAAATGACATCCTTGCAACACAGCATAAGGGATGTCGATCTTCTATCCTGTGAATCGATCGCAGACTCGCGAGAATAAATCACAATGCATTGAATCGATCTCATTCTATCTTGGAAAATCAAAGTTTATTATTTAAAAAAAGTAATTAAAATTCAACGAATTATTCATACAAAAAGTTATTTATAATTTATATTTTAGGTTTTAATTTTATAAATTTTACGCACCATAAAGCCCAATTATTTGCATCTAAACTTTTCAGAAATAATAACTTTCTAAAACGTCAAAGAAATAAGACCTTTTGAAATGCACTAAAAAAATCATCCATGAATAAAATAACAAAGAAAAATTTGCTTTCTGTCAATGTATTTGAGTGTAAAATACCCTTTAACACTATTTAGGACACATATAAGACACATGGATATTTTAAATGTGTGTTAATTCTTTGTATACGTTGTATAAACGGCGATATAATATAAAAAAAAATACATTACTGTTACGGAATGCAGCTGCATGGTTGCGCATGACAAGATGGCGTTATTCGCCAATAAATCACGCAATGAATCAACACTGTCGAAACTACTTGTGTCATATAAGTATACATCGGGTCGGCGACAAAGCGACAGACACTGGGGAAGAAACGGGTAGCTGTTCAAGAACTTTTTGGTAATGGCTCGAATACATCGGTAAGGCCGAGGCCAATCTAAGAATATTCTAGATGTGGTATCTAAGCGATCTGAAAGCGAGAGTAATTCGAAGTGAAACTCAAAGCGATAACTAGAACGGTGAACAATCTAATAGCGTTGTGTTGTCTTATTAGTGACGTCAAATATTGAAGAAAATGTGTGAATTTTGTAATTGGATTATTTTTGTATTTTGTGAATATACTGATTTATTTTGATTAGTAAATGAAATCTCCGATATCACGAACGTTGGGATTGCAAGGACACATTGAATAAAATTTATAATATTAAGAGAACTTCATCTAACACTTAAATGAAAACAGAAAAAAATAATAAGGCTACGTTGGATCTTTTCGCCTTTAATTAAAAAACAATTCCACGTTCATTTAAAAAAGGCGGTCTAAATTTACTTTAAATTTTTCATGAAAATGTTTCTGGCGAAATTGATTATGTTTGTTTATTATTAGTTTTGAAAATGATTAAATCGTTTATTTACTAACAAGCAATAACTCAAAACTGTAGATCAAATAATCCCATTTCTTGTTGGGCACATGATACTAAGGAATTTTTTAAGTATTCCTTTACAACGAGGAAGTATTAAAAGGAAAAAAAAGGACTAGAAAGCTACGACCTTAGCAAAAGTTACACTAGATGGCGACCCTAGCAAAAATTGATTTTTGCAGGAAACGAATGGACCAAAGATAGTAATTTCCGTTCCTTTTAACTAACATATTAAAAAACTGAATTTACAAACTTTGAAACTTAGATATCAATACAAATACGAAAAAGTACAAATAGAATATGAGTTGTTTATTGAGTTTAAAAATTAATTTATTAAGAAAACCGGAAGGGTTGTCATGGAGAAATCAAAAAAGTACCGTACCGACATCTAGTTTGATTTCGGGAACCAATTTATTTTTTAAATACTTCTTTATTTATTTTGGTTTCAGAGGAAAAAAACTAAGTTGTATGAGGCAACCATAGTGTTTGTGTTTAAACGCATTTTCTTGTCTTAAAATTAAATCAAAATTAAAACTTATTTTATACCTGCGCAAGCTGTCCGCCATATGACGTCATTTATATATGCTACTTTTTTCAAAAGATTTTATCGGCCTTGGCTTCTATGGCCTTCAGCCGTACGGATATGTCACAAAATAGATGCACAGAGCAGTATATTAAAAGATGCCAATAAAACTAAAACAGTGCCGTCTAGGAATTTGATGTATATAATAAATAGGCATTGTTTACGTCTAATCTGACAGCTATCGCCGGAATTACGTCACACAATGGCGAGTGGTGTTTCAAGTCACATGACACACTTAAAAAAACCTCGACTTTTAATTTTAAGATAACCATTCGATTTTATGATTCAATTCAAAATCGCTATGTTTATTACGACGTAAATTTTATTTTTTATTCAATTTCATTACTGCTGTTGGCATTTGGCATAAAATAATAAAAAAAAATATATAAATAACAATAGGGATGATGACTGGGTAAAAAAATGCAATTCTATTTAGTCCGTCAGTCAGATAATAGAAAAATATTAGATACGTATTTTTTTTTTACTTCAATTTAACAAGAAATAGCTTAGATAACAGGCATTAAAGTTGAGGAGTGGGGGCTTGTTATGTCACAGTTGAGTAGAAAACGTACTCTAACGTGACGTCATGCGAAATTTCAACTCAATGTAACGCCGTAATTTTATGATTACGAAAAAAATAAAAAAATACGTGTTTAATAATTTTTAACACTCTACCTGACGGACAAACAAACAAAAATTAGTCATCATCCCTATTCTCGATACCGGCTATTATTATGAGTACTTACCGTGCGTTAATGTGGATTACTCACTCAGTATCGAGTTTCGATACCTACTCGGTATCGAAAGTATCGTTAGAATCATAACACCATCCTTTAGATACTTGATCATATACGATATTAATCTATGACTTCATCTGAGATGCAGCACTATTCATTTCTTTGCTAGGTTAAAAGTATAAGTATGGTAAAAGAAACTTCGATTGAAATACACGATTCGTTGATCAATTTTTTTCAACTGTTTATTTAAAATGATTCGTTTTTGAAGACCCATCTAATATCGACTTTTAACACTACTAATCTTTACTACATAGCATTATAAAACATAATGCATAGAGATTTGGTCGTATGTAGAAGGATTCATTCTATAAGTGGTCTGTGGAATTAGGTCTTTCTCTTTTTAGTAACGAACGCTCTTGCTCGTTTCGTATTTGTGATTTTCTGTGTAAAATCTTTTGAATATTGTTTTTTTTTTGTCTTTAGTGTCGTCCAGTACCGATGCGTGTAATAGGTGTTGACAATTACCATTACTACAATGGACTGTAATAAATTAACTGTAATGAAAGCAACGCGCAAAATAACATCGCAAGCACTTACCGTCTTCCGATTGCGATGACCAAACGACAGCGGGAACCATGATCGCCAATTTACCGCTTCTTTTTGCCAATGGCAATCCGACAGCGCTTTCGAAAATTAGTGCTGAAGAGTTGGAGAGGTTCATAACTTTTATGGTGACATGTTCCTGGGGTCATGACACTGCCAAAGATATTCGCCAGCCTCCGTGGTGGCCGAAAGATGTAGTATTTTCCCACCCTTTTGTCAGACCATCACAGGTGCCCAAAGATTGGGCGGCAAGGTTGAAGAATCTTGTGAAGAGATGCTATGATTTTCACAAAAGTACATTCTTGCTGGTTTTCTCAGCTCAGCTGGCACGCTACCCACGCAACAGGCTGAGGTATGTTGACAACCGCGATCATACGACGTCTCTCTACTACCGACCAAGCGGTCGTCTTCTTGTTACATTCAGGAATGAGAATATTTACTATGATCGAGATGCACCAATGGATGTAGAAGAGTTACCTCAAGCTGCTGATATATATCTATGTGACAGTTGTGACAGTCACTTTGACAGTTTAGATTTATTGACAGCACATGAGAGGCTCTGTAATGACGAATCTTCATCCAACAGTGGTGGTCTGTCTGATTTTCTTTCTGCACTAAAACTACAGCCTATTGGAGACAATGTGAAACCTTCTTATTCAAAAACTCATCAAAATGAGATCAAACCCAGGAATGCGAGAAGTGCAGCCAATATTGATAGGGGTCCTCCATATCCATTCTCGTCTTTAGCTTACATGAAAAATGCTAAGTCTAATATACAAAGGGACACCAGTTACTCGAGGGAGAGAATTGAGAGGTACTGTTGTACTCCATTTTCTATTAGTAAAACATTAGGTAGTAAAAGTAAAAATCAACAGTTTCCAGTAAGGTACAGAAGACCAATTGATCACTGGCACAGGCGACATATATTTCCAAATCAGAGAAAAAAGAACATTCTAGATCTGAAAAGTCAACTGTTATTGTTAAAGTGTCGTCCTGTGTCTGTGGACATAGAGGTAATGACAGAAAAACGTATACAGGATTATATTGAGCAGTTAAAAGAAGAAGCTGAGAAGAGGAGAGCTGCTGCTGAGAAAGATGTCATATATGTAGATGGATTAGAATACAGTGAGCACATGTCAATAAGTGAAACAAGAGATCCACTAAAACGGTTAGAGGAATGTGAGATTATTGATCTATGTTCTGATGATGAAGGAGGAAGTGTGAATGAAAACTGTGACCCACGTGCTGGAATAGCTTGTGTGATGCGAGGTGGTGCAGTGTTAAGGCGAGCAGTGCCACCAGCGACTCCTCGTCAGTTGCCTGCAGAGCCTTGTGGTGCTCGTCACCGGCCACTGTCTGTGGAAGTCTGTGGTGCCCGTCATCGCCCTTTGGCAGCAGCAGTTCTGCAACCCCACCCTGTTATTTTAATTGCACACACACTCAACCACTTACAGACTATATCTCTAGAGTGATTCTGAGTAATTTGCCCATAATAGGTATGTTACTGATTATTTATTATTCCTTGAATATTAAAAAATTTAATGTTTTTTAAATGTTTTATTTCTGGTAATGAAAGTGGGCATATGTGAGCTGCAATCCATTATTACTTGCATACAACAGGATCTTAGAGGGAAAGGCAAAACCACTGGAGAGTCCTGATTTAAGATTTAAGGTGTAAACAAAAACTAGCAAAACTGGGGAACCTGTTCTGGGTAACAATTTCATAGGGTCATAAAATAATATTGTTTATAAATATATGTCTTCAAATAATTTGAGATTAAAGATAACCTCATTATTAATTATATGAAAAAAAAATCTGATATTTGTTATATAGCTAATATTTTTCCAATGCTTTCCATTATCAAATTTCTGCCCCGATTTCTAAAAAGTCTCACATCCTGAACTGCTTGCATTTAATGTTTAGACAAATATGGTATATTCCCATTACCCATTATTAGAATTTGGTTTATTAAATTGAAACTGTTTGAGGAATCTATTTAGAAGTTTTACATTTGGATGAAATTGATTTAGCATATAGACATATATGCAAAATCAAATCTAAAAAAAAATCAATGCTTAAAGATACATATGTACTGTAAGTTTTTAATGAGGTGCATGGCAAGTCTTTATTTGTGCAAAGTAGATCTGCCAATTCAAATGATTACTAAACATACAATGAAAATTTGTTCAGTAACCATAAGGTGTAAAATACAACACATAAGGTGTCCATCTTTCTGACACTCAACATTGGTCAGTATCATAGAAATTGGTGGATCGCCCAGTTTTAATTAAATTATCGGAATTATTCTGTTTTGACAAAATTTGCTTTCTATATTTAACCCACGTCAGCTACTGTAGTAAAAGATTTGTCAATGTTATGGTATTTCTGCTAAACTTCGTCATGTATTATTATGATTGACAGACATTGAACAATTTTTTTTTTTATTATATACCATATTATGATAATGCATGAATTTGGCCCTTAGTGCTATCAATAATTTTTCTTCAACTCAACAGATATTGAAAATTAATTAACATGTATTATAAATACAGGTTTAAAACTGAACAACAAAATTATATTTTTAAACTGGTAGTTCTACATATTATTTAAAATTACAAATATTGATACTTAAAATTTAACCAAATAATAGTGGCTCATGAGAATATACTAAATTAAGTGTTTAGTTATTTAATATTTTAAAAGTATTTAATTGCATATCATTGCTAGAGATAAAGATAAATAGGTTTTTTTTAAATAAAATGAATGAACTACAACATGGCGCCCAAGTACCTAAGACAAAATGGCTGACTTAAGAAGGCAATCTGATACTCGGTCTGCTGTGATAAATTGTATTATTAAGCCATTTCAGCATGTAAAATAGTTTATAAGTAGTTTAATTTTATTTTTTATAATCAGTTTTAATTTAATAATATGATTTACCTGATTATTTAGATAGATTTTGATTTGTCTTTGATCACTTAGTTTGATTTGTCCTCCTTGTGTGGGCGTGTACATGTTAAATGTATGATACTATTAACAACTAAATTATACTTATCATATTGACTTTTTTGTTTTGCACCTATTTTAAACCTACCTCTACCTTTTAATAGTACAGTATACACGGCTCCACATCAAATTTCTTGAAATTATTATAAACTACATACAATCTATGCATTGAGGTTAAAAATCACGTGCAGAATTAGTCGGTTTTGTATAGCCTGACGTGTTGTTGACTATATTACAAGATAAACAATGGGCATAGAAAACGATCGTCGTGATTTATAAACGGGCAAAAACTTTGCTTGGCGATCATTTACTCCTCACCGCTACACTCCATGAGGGCGGATTTTTATATTACCATATTTTTGCAGCACATGATTCTTTTCTTTTATTTTAATTAGGGATTTTGAATCATGTCCGTCCCATGGTAGCCTATCATCATCCGTCCTTTTACGTCTTCCTTATGGATGGTTAAAGAGGATGGGCTATTAGACCAACGTAGTGTCATAACACTACGTTGCAGAAGGTTTGTCCTGATTTTCAAAAAGGGTGAAAAGACACCCTTGAAGAACTATAGGTCGATTTCGCTTCTGAATCTCTATAAGTTGTTTTTAAGACTCATTAAGAGCCGTCTCGCTCGTAGGCATGACGATTTCCAACCTCCTGTACAAGCCGGCTTCCGAAGAGGCCGTACTGTAGACCATATTTATACGCTGCGGCAAGCTACTCGTATACAGAAGACTGACGAGCATAATTGGCCACTCTGCTTAGCGTTTGTGAAACTGCAAGAAAGCCTTAAATTCGATTAAGACATTGGCGGTGCTACAGTTCCTACAAAGATGCCAAGTGAACTAAAGATATATCTCGATATTTAATCTCGATTAAGTGTATATATACAGGAATGTCACTTTGGTTAGGATATAATTACGGAAATTTGAATTAGTAGCTCGGTGGCGTAGTGGATAAGCGCCGCGGCCCGCGATCGTTGTCGATAAACAACTTTCGCAAGGGTCGGTCACGGGATGGGTGACTAAAAATCATTATCATCAGCCATAAGACGTTCACTGCTGACCATAGGCCTCCCCCATAAATTTCCACGACGATCGGTCCTGCGCAGCCCGCATTCAGCGGCTTCCTGCAACCTTTATAAGATCGTCCGTCCACCTGGTGGGAGGCCTACCCACTGATCGTCCTCTGGTACGTGGTCGCCATTCCAGAACTCTTCTGCCCAACTGCCATCAGTTTTTCTCGCTGTGTCCCGTCTATTGCCACTTCAGCTGAGCCATTCTTTGAGCAATCTCAGTAACGTTAGTTCTCCTACGGATCTCGTGATTCCTAATTCGATCACGTAGAGACATACTAAACATTGCTCTCTGCTTTGCCCGCTGGGTGACCTGAGCCTTCTTATGAGACCCATAGTGAACGACCACGTTTCGCTTGATTAATGACACACTGATTGAAGTCTTTGGTCTTGAGACACTGGCAATTTGGACGCGATTTTTATTTTTATTAGCTTCCTGAACGCTGCCCATCCGAGCTGAATTCGACGAGAGATCTCTTCCTCGAAGTTGGACTTGCCTAGCTGAACTGTCTGTTCTAGGTACACATAATGGTCGACATCTTCAAGAGTAGTATTCTCAATTTTAACTGGAGTAGGTACAACGTAGACGTTTGACATGATTTTCGTCTTATACATGTTCATCTCAAGACCCACGCTTTGAGATACACTACTGAGATCTTCAAGCATGTTGTTTAGGTCTTCCAAGGGCTCAGCCATTAGGACTACATCATCAGTAAAGCATAGGTGTGTAAGATACTCGCCAATCCAGAAGCTTGAAAATATCCACCAACGCAGCGGTGAATAGTTTTGGAGAGATAACGTCTTCCTGCTTTACGCCTCGCTGAAATTGGATAGGATTAGAGTTCTGGTTTTGTAATCGGACTGACATAGTAGCATTTTTATACAGACACTAGTGTTACCATGTACCTGTAATCCACTTGGCACCTTTGGAGAGACACTGCCCTTGTGTCGATCGAATCAAAGGCTTTCTCGTAGTCACGAACGCCAAGCAGAGTGGCCGGTTATATTCTTCGGACTTCTGTTTAACTTGCCGCAGCGTATGAATATGGTCCATGGTACTATAGCCTTTTCGGAATCCAGCTTGTTCGGGAAGTTAGAGGTCGTCGAGCCTGCGAGCGAGACGATTCGTAATGACCCTTGAAAACAACTTATAAACGTGGCACAAAAGCGAGATAAGCCCATAGTTTTTCAAGAGTGTTTTATCACCCTTTTTGAGAAATAGGATGACCTCACTCTCACTCCATGCTTTCGGCATTTTACCTTCAAAATAACCTTCGAGAATAGATTAGCCTCTGGAGGACTTTGAGTATTGGCTATCGTATCGGCTCGCTATCAGACGCTCTGAGGTGATTCCGTCGTCACCCGTTGCCTTGTTGTTTTTCAGTTGATTAAGAGCCCTTCTAATCTCGTACAGGCTAACGTCGGGATTTCTTCGTTAAGGATGTAATCAAATAAAGTCGAATAGGAAGAATGTGTGCGGATTGCTGGGTGTTAACGATGCGACTATATGCGGCCCGTATCAACAGCTTAACATGCCTTTTGAAGCACAGTAGGAGCTCAAAATAATAAATTTTTGGTCACCCATCCTCAAGTTTAATTTTAAACTTGAGTTTTCGAGCAGTTGCTTTACTGTTTCTAATATCTCTAATCCTATTTCAACTAAGATAGATGGAATCGTTACATCATCTAAATATGCGTCTGATGTATATCCGCATTAACTTTTCATAATCATGCGTATTAACTGGTATAATACAGTCAGAGCATCGGTAAGTCTAAAGGACATTTTTGTAAATTTAAACGGTCCTGAAGATGAAACGAAATCAGTTTTTTTTGTACAGAATCTGCATCCATAGGAAACTGATACTAGCTGTAAGAGGTAGCTCTGTGCGCTCTGATATATGTAGTCTGTGACAGAGGTAGTATATACTCTGGGACGAGCCGGATATCATGGCGGTTTGGTTATAACATATTGTATAGAGAATAAATATCTAAAAGCATCGAGCTGGCGTCTTATTATCAAGAACCCTCACATGGCGCTGCGGACCTACGGACTGCATTATAAATAAAGGTACGATAAATAAAATACTACGATATAGAAGATGGAATTATTACAACCTCCTCCGCCATTATCGCTTGAAAATTGTAACAAACAGAGAAGCTTTCAAAATTGGAAGCAGAAGTTTGACTTGTACTTTTTGGCAAGTGGAGCAGATCAACGCTTGACCGACGAACAGAAAAAGGCTCTTTTATTACATTGCATAGGAGATGAAGGCTTGCAAATTTATAATAGCTTCGAAGATAAAAATGAAATAAATTATAGGGAGGTACTTTTGAGATTAGAAACACATTGTAGTCCACCTTCCAACGAAACTTATAACCGTTACCTATTTTTTTCGAGAAAACAAAAATGTAATGAGGAAATTGAAGAGTATCTTACTTGTTTAAAACACCTAAGCTTGGATTGTAATTTTCAAACATTGAAAGACAGTCTAATTAAAGATCAAATATACTAGGAATAAATGATGACAATATAAGAGAAAAACTGCTGAGAATACCAGATTTAACTTTGAATAAATGTG